TGTCTTGTGTGTAACATAATGTTAAAAGTTCTACTTGTAAGAGCAAGTAAATAAGAAAAAATTAGAAAGGAAAAATCTACTTGTTTTTTTTTAGACAAGTTCTTACTAGGCTGACTGGGCAGGTCATAACCCCATGATCCTGCTGCTGCAGCCTCCTGATGGAATTGAAGGTGTATACCATCATCAGAGAAAATCCCAAAGAAAGTGGTTGCAGCCAGGCACAGGTAGCTACCAGTACTTGTAGTTACTCAGGAGGCTAAGATCTGAGGACTTTGGTTCAAAGCCAGCCCAGGTAGTAAAGTCCATCAGATTCTTATCTCCAAATTAAGCACCAAAAAAGCCAGAAGTAGAGCTGTGGCTCAAGTGGCAGAGCACTAGCCTTTAATAAAATGGTTCAGAGACTTTTGGTGAGTTACATGCATGCCAGACAATAGGAAAAAAAACACAAAAATTGTGAAGCTTACCACACTCTCCGTAAAGTATGAGGATCCACTAGTCGGGGTCATATTAGATACCTCCTCCCTAAAGGACAAATCATTGTTCTTCCTATTGCTAACAAACAAACAAAAAAAAGATACAGCATTTGACGGGTAGAAACTTTAGCCCATTTCTCAGATGACTTACAAGATTTTAGTGGGACCCAGAGTAATAGAGCTCAGAAATATCTTCAAACTATAACACAAATAACCTTGACACTTGACCACATTACCACGTATGTCCCATGACTCTAGACTATTCTAGAACTATCACAAAATCTCTGGCAAGTCTTAAAATTGTGGAGCTATGCTATCCTCTCTGAACACCAGAGAAAACACTGGTTTGGTTCAGATATGTCAGCCTGATACATTCATAAACCAAAATGTGCTCTGTATTAAATGCTAATCAAGTCTAGAGGAAAATCTACTCCAACTGCTGAGCTTCATGCATTAAATCTCATAAGATCCTTGATCTAGTGCTCTGGTATCAAACACTCATCACAGATGTTAAACATATTCATTCAGCTTATTTGAGGTGCATCTCCATTTCTCAGGAAGCAAAAATCAAAGGGAATATGCTCACCTAATTCTTGTATCTGGATAATGTACAAGCATTGATTTTTATCCTTAAGTCAGTTTTTTTATAAATGAAATGTTGGTTTGGGCGGGGGGGGGGGGGGGGGGGGAGTGTTTGTTTTGGGGCTTTTTGTTTTGGCCAGTTATGGGGCTTGAACTCTGGGCTTGGGCACTGTCCAAGCTCTTCAGCTCAAGGCTAGCGCTCTACTACTTGAGCCACAGCACCACTTCCAGCTATTTCTGTTTATGTGGTGCTGAGGAATCGAACTCAGGGCCTCATGCATGCAAAGCAAGCACTCTACCATTGAGCCACCTTCTCAGCCCCTACATGAAATGTTTTGTTCACATTTTTATTCCATAAATATGTTAAATGTATTTATTAGGTTTTCTCCTTCCTCTTGGCATAAGGCTATTTTAAGTCTTGCTTTTACAAACTTGTTTTTTTAGATAGCCAAACCATAAACTTCTGCTTTATTCTTGCTTTCTATAAGATTCTCACAAGTGCTGTGTGCTTCCAATTTCTCACTAATCCTTTGTGCTTTCCTCTGATCTCTATTTTTAATTTGGCAGTATTGGAGATCAAACCTAGAGCCTAATGGATGCTATCACTGAACTACATTTTAAGCCACCATTCTCTTCTAATCGTATATACCCTTTAAAGCATTCTGTTGTTTTGTTTATTCTCAATATGGTTTAATTTTTCTATTTTCTCAAAATTCAAATTCTGATTTCTCCTATTCTTTTACATGCTGTATCATTTTTTTTTTTTGCATCTTTTAACACTTTTATAAAAATGTATAGGCATGCTTTTCTGGTGTGATTTCATTATTTCATTCCTTTCCCTCTGTTTTAGATAACTGGGCATGACTATACATTTCTGTTCTTTCTGTGTGGATCAGTGTTTCTGAACTTTCAGAAAAAGGTTTTGTTAAATGGACTTTATGGCTTCAAAGCAATCTCATCTCTGTTTCTTTTGGGAAAATGTTGAAAAATACAGTAGTAGTTTGCTTCTTGAGATTTCCTTGGCACTACTTAGGAAATGTGACAACAAAGATAGTTCAGAGAATATTAGGAGAGCAATACAGCAAACATCTTTTTAGCTAAAAAGGATACTTCATGTACCATGATGGACTATGCAAAGAGCACACACTATTAAAAAACAAAACATAAGCCAGGCATCTGTGGCTCACGCTTGCAATTCTATCCACTCATGAGACTGAGATCTGAGGAATGTGGTTTGAAGCCAGCTCAGGTAGTAGGGTGACTACTTCAACCTAATTAGCCATCAAAAACCTGCAAGTGGAGCTGTAGTTCAAATGATAGAGTGCCAACTTTGAGCAAAGAAGGTAAGTGACGAAATCTAGACTGAGTTTACGCCGCAGTACCAATACCAAATTTTAAATTAAACAAAATTACATAAATTATATTAAAATAAAATAAAATAAAAATACAAAATTACATGGACTCAAAGCTTTTAAATGAGCATCATTATTCCACAATACTGGGAATTATGTAATCACTTAATCACAATCAAAAAAAAAAAAAAGAACCTCGGGGAAGGTAGGGAGGGAAGGGATGATAGGGGGAAAACAATGGAGAGGGTAACAATGTTCAAGAGGAAGTGTACTCATTACCTCACTCATGTAACTGTAAAGTATCTTTACAATAAAAAAAATAAATAAATGTCAAAAAAAAAGTACAACATAGTACCCACTTCTATCTTTAAAAGTGGAATCAAATATATAATAAAACAGGAGATGAAATAGCATCAAGAATAAGACTTGAGTGTAAAAGTTTTCTGATGAGCTGGGCTTTGATAGAAAACACATGTAATCTAGCACTCATGAGACAAAAGCAAAAGGACTGCAAGTTCCAGTGAAGCCAATTCTACATTAAGAGACTGTTGCAGGGCTGGGAAGGCGGCTCAGTGGTAGAGCGCTGGCCTTGCCTGCATGAGGCCCTTGGTTCAATTCCTCAGTCCACATACACAGAAAAAGCCAGAAGTGGCACTGTGGCTCAAGTGGTAGAGTGCTAGCTTTGAGCAAAAGAAGCTCAAGGACAGACCTCAGGCCCTGAGTTCAAGCCCCAGGACTGGAAAAGAGAGAGAGAGAGACGGTTGCAAAACAGAAACAAAAAAAGTTTCCTTAGGATCACTTCATCTCAAAAAACTTAACTTTAATTCTAGTTTGGCTGCGGTCTTTTTATTTATTTTTGGGGGGGGGGGGAGGCGGGGGTAGTCCGGTCGTGGGGCCTGAACTCTGGGTCTGGGCGCTGTCCCTCAGCTCTTCAGCTCAAGGCTAGCACGCTACCACTTGAGCCATAGCACCACTTCTGGCTTTTTTTTTTCTGCTTATGTGGTGCTGAGGAATCGAACCCAGGGCCTCATGCATGCAAAGCAAGCACTACCACTGAGCCACCTTCTCAGCCCCGGCTGTGGTTTTTTAAATAAACCTATAAAATCTCCCATAGACTATATTAAGCCATGATTAATAAAATAAAAACTAAAGGAAAATATACAGATTATATAGATACATGGACAAATGTCAGTTACTATTGGTCAAATATTATTTCAATTATAAATCTCTCACAAGAGCCACTTTAATTAGTTTCTTATAAATTGGCCAAAGGAGATAATACGGATAAGTAACAATGATAGCAACTAAATGACTCAATGAAGCAGTGATTTTTTTAAGGCCATAAGAACACCATGACACAAATTTTTTTTTTTTTTTTTTTGGTTCCAGTTGTGGGGCCTGAACTCTGGGCCTGAGTGCTTTCCCTAAGCTCTTCAGCTCAAGGCTAATGCTCTACCACTCGAGCCACAGCGCCACTTCCAGCTTTTTTCTTTTTGCTTATGTGGTGCAGAGGAATCGAACCCAGGGCCTCATGCATGCAAGGCAAGTGCTCTACCACTGAGCCACCTTCCCAGCCCACAAAAAATATATTTAAGCTCATAGGATAGCACTGGTGGTTGTCATAGTTCCAAAACATCACTCTGAAAAGTAATAAAGGAAAAGGATTATGTATTTATCCTGCCATTCTGTAGGAACATATATCACAGTAACCAAATAGCCCTAGCTTCTTAAATGCAACAGAAATGACAAAAATTGGGCAGAAAAGTCATTTTTTAGTCCTTAATGAAATAACAGATCCGAACAAGCATCAATAATATAGCTTTTTAAAACATTATGTATTATTATGGTAAAGTTTACAATGAGGATGTGTCAGGCTTCTGCACATATCACCGTGATCAATTAAAACATCATTAAAATCAAACAATTACAATTAATATCTTTTGTCTTATTATGTGTAGCATGAAGCTACCAACTATTATTTCCAAAAAAATGAAATCAGAATCTAATCTTCTCTAGATCTAGTTTCCAGGACATAGAAAAAATAGTGAGCAAGCTCAGCCTACAGTCAACTCAGAAGGCAGCTTCAGTAGGTTGTGGTATGCTGGACAATGGGGACCAGGGAAAGAACTAACTTACTAGGACAGTTAAGAGATAAATAATAATGTGTAAATCGAGTTTGATCATGATTTGAATAAATAATAAATATTTCATTTAATGAACTGAATGTTGCACAGTAGCCATTACTAATTGGTAAGTGGGATACAGACATTTTAATTACATACAGAAATATGATTTTTATTTTTTAATATATCCTGAAGTACTTATATTAAAACTGCATCCATCTCGTGTGTGCTTTAAACACAAACACAAAGGAGAGGGAAGGGGAATGATGGAAGATCAAGACACACTGCACTTACAATAAATGGACATTTTAATTGAAACCCCTTTGAACTATTTAAAAATATAAATAAACAAAAAATAATGGTACAATGTAATAGCAATTAAAGCTGGATCATAGGTATACAAAAGTTAATAAAATATTTTCTATACTTCAGTGAACAAATAAAACAATAAATCACCACTTCAAAATATGTTCAGTACATAATTGACAAAGTTTATTATCAAGAAATTTTAGTAGTAGGTTTTTAAAAAAGAATGGTTGGGTTTTATAGTAGTAAAAGATGATAAGCCACAACAGGACATATACAAAGGTAATTAGAATATTAAATACTATCTCAATTAAAAGACCATCATTCACATTGCTAGTTATAATCCTGTGTCTTGGTAAATACAAGCAGCTTTCATGAAATTCACCTTCTCATGAAAACTAGGAGATAATTCTCCAAATTCAATTACTTAGTTTACAATAATCAGTGCTGAGTTTCTTGTGCATGCACTATCACATGAAGCACAAAATCCTATCTAGAATGATTTTTAGGTTTTCTTCAAAATGTATCTCAAGCATCTTTTAAAGCGCGAGCTATAAATAGGATGTATTCTTAAAAAACAAAAATCTTTAGAAATAAGCATCTGAGATAGCTACCCACCACTGCCAAGTATGGTTATACAACTAACCAAAGGAAACTGGCGGTACTTTGCTAACTCTGGTTTTAGTGCAAGGACCTCCTCCTTCATAGCGGAGCTCTTAGCTCTTATTATCTACCAGCCAAACATGTACTCCATTGCTTTCGAGACAAGACTTTCATCTTTTTTTGGCGTTTGTCTGTCAGAAATAACCTATTAAAATACACACAAAAGGAAAAAAAACTGTTAGGTTATGATTTTTTCTATGACAGTCAATTCTATAATTAATAGCTAATTTAAAAGGGAAATACTAAAATCACTAAAATTCATTTCCAACAATTATTTATATGTTTTGAAGATTATAATTTGGACTTGTAATATCTTTATGTTCTTAAGAATACCAACAACTCAAATATAACCATATAAAATGATGCTTATCAAAATGAATGCCAAGGCTGGGAATGTGGCTTAGTGGTATAGTGCCTGCCTAGCATGCAAGAAACCCTGAGTTCAATTCCTCAGTACAACATAAACAGAAAAGGCCGGAAGTAGCCCTGTTGCACAAGTAATAGAAGGCTAGCCTCAAGGACAGGCTCAAGGAGAGAGGCTCAAGGACAGTGCACAGGCCCTGAGTTCAAGATCCAGGACTAGCAAAGAAAAAAAAAAAAAAAACTCCAAAAAATAGAAGACTTTTTTTTTAAATTGTACTATTTGCAGTTATTTCTTTTTTTCTTTCTTTTTTCTTCCCCACCTTGTTTTTTATTTCTGTACCCTTTGTTTTCTTTATAAGTTTATCTGAATTGGGGAAGTGGGGAAAGAGAATCACAGAAATGATGGGACAAAAGGTGAACCAATGCAACAGTGATACTCAATAGATACTATGTTGGAAATGAACTTTACAACTGGGGGGAGAAGAGTCAGTGGTAGACGGAATGGGAGAAAATGAGAGGAGGTAATGTACTCATTACCTTACTTTTGTAACTGTAAACCCTCTATATATTAGCTTTACAATATTTTTTTTAAAGAATACTAATACTCTTTCCTTTAGCAAAACAAATAAATTAGAAAACTGAACAAATTTTAAAAAGAGCATCAAGAAATAAGAGTTTTAAATACAAGTTGAAAAACAAAAAACTAAGGAACAGAAACAATTTTACAATTATCTTCCTATTTCAGGGGAATCAAAAACACACTGTCACTACTTGCCCTACTAGAATACAAGCATTTTTGTGTTCAAGTACTGTGATCTAAGACCTATGTCTTTGGCTGCCTAAATTAAATACTTTTGACTAATTACTAGTGGACAACAATATAGAAAATTTACAGTCAAAATTCTTATATCACTTCCAATAAATATAATGAACTTCCTTAAAAATGTATGACATGAAAACTTTTAACTCTGAATAATAGTAGGCCAAAGTCTTCTTTTGATACCATAATGTGTTCAATCCTAAGGTTTTATAAATTGTGACATCATCAGTTTTATCACTGATTTAACAGGGTTATAATATTCTCTCATTCTAACAATGTGTACAGGAGACACTTTGTTTTGTATACAAATACAACTCAGAAAAGTTCAAAGACATCAGAATGTCTGAAGAAATGGCAATTTTTTTAAATTTTGCTTTCCAACATTGAGCATGTGAGGAAAGTACTCAACCACGAAGCTACATCCCCAGCCCAAAGGAAAAAACAAAAATAAAACAAGACAACTTTCAAAGTAGCCAAGATTCCAACTTTAAAATAGAAAATTTAAAAGTTAAAGGTTTCAATGAGGAAATCACTCCAGCATGAAAAGTTTAATAATAGCTATATCAATTCAATGGGATCTTTTTCAAAATGCCTTTAATTAGATCTTTTTTTATCCAATTCTACTTAAATACCTGATAATCACTAGTAGAAGCTTTGTATGCTGTAGCAAGAGGTCTCATGGTAGAAATCCTAGGAGTACTTCCGGGTTGTGCTGGTGTACCTAAGGTCTTAATTGGTGGTGTAAATGCCAGAGATGGTGATGACAAAGAACATCTTTCGCTGTTTTCCATGACAGTCTAGAGAAATAAACAATTCTTTGTTTATAAGCATATATATATATATATATATATATATATATGTTTGGATGTTTATGCAGTACTGTATATATATATATATATATATACAGTATATACAGTATATATATATATATACTGTATATACTGTATATATATATATATATATATATATATATATATATATATATATACAGTACTGCATAAACATCCAAAGAAATGTATTAAAGGAGGCATGCTTTCCTGGATTCTAATTAACCCTTCCAATAATTTTAGGTTTGAGAATACAATACGATTCATAGCATTTAAGAGCAGGATTTGAGCAAGAGATCTCAATTTAATCACTTCAAAGACTTTAATATGCCTGGAGCTAGTATCTTACCTATAATCCTAGTTATTCAGGAGGCTGAGATCTGAGGATTGTGGTTCAAAGACAGCTCAGGCAGGTAAGTCCATAAGACTCTTATCTCCAATTAATCACCATTAAAGCCAGAAATAGAGCTGTGACTCAAGTAGTGCACTGCTAGCCTGCAACACAAAAGCTCAGGGACTGCACCCAAACCCTGATTCAAGCCCCAATACTGGCATCAAGGGAAAAAAAATTCAATGTAACTTTATTTTTTTTATTGTGAAAATACTGTACAGAGGAGTTACAATTACATGGGCAAGATAATAAGTACATTTCTTATCAAGCATTGTAGCCTCCTCCTTTGTTTCCCCTTCCCATCCCTTCCCATCAATGTAACTTTATAAGCCACAAGAATTAAGAATCCTCGGGCTGGGAAGGTGCTCAGTGGTAGAGCACTTGCCTTGCATGCATGAGGCCCTGGGTTTGATTCCTCAGCATCACATAAGCAAAAAGGAAAAACAAAAGCCAGAAGTGGCACTGTGGCTCAAGTGGTAGCGCGCTAGCCTTGAGCTGAAGAGCTAGGGACAGCGCCCAGGTCCAGAATTAAGAATCCTCTAAAGCAAGTCAGCAAAGGCAAAATTAAAAATTCTTGGAGAATATGGATTGGAAAAGAGAATCAAAGTCTAAAGCTCCAAAAGTCCTCTCTTCTCTGGTAATATATCATAGCACAATTATATAATCACATGGCTACAACAAATTTTAAGTACAGAAACCAAGTCTGTTTTGCTGGTTAACATGTATGTGCCAAGCAATAAACACATGGTAGTATAAGTTTGCATATACAGTATGTACACAGTGATTTTACAAAGAAGAAAATTTTGAACTTTACTTGGTATTAAGTACATTATTTCTAAGTACTGTGAAATTAAAATACATAACCAAAACTCCCATTATTTAATGCTATCAATTCATTATGAAACAGCAACATTCCTTTGAAGTTCTCAACAACATTTGATGTTGCTTTGTACAGTACAAAATGGGTTAGTAGTTACGATATCTAAAGTCTAGATCTCACTTCAATATTGGACAAGCTACTTTTGTTCTCTTGGCTTCTTTATGTGACATGAAGGGATTTGGATGTATTATCTCTAAAATCTTAAAGTTAAATATTTTTGGCTTACTTTTTCCTGTCAGTCATGGGACTTGATCTCCAGCCTGGGCGCTGTCTCTAAGCTCTTTTTGCTCAAGGCTAGTGCTCTACCACTTGGAGCCACAGTGCCACTTCTGGTTTTCTGGTGGGTAAATGAAGATAACAGTCTCACAGACTTTCCTGCCTAGGCTGACTTTGAGCCTCATCCGCAGATCTCAGCATCTTAAGTAGCTAGGATTAAGTAGCAGCCACTAGCACCCAGCTTTAAATAACATTTTTTATAAGCTAAGCAAAAGAGATATGGGCATGACAACTTGTACTTCTCATTGTTGCAACAGGTCCACCTGTATCCTTAAACAACTGGTTTTTCCCCATCTCCTCCACAAGTTATACTGACATCAAATATAGTGAAAGCAGGGGTTATACTGTGGGGGAGGGACATACAAAGCAACAAAGAGATAATCTTATAAATGCGTTAGAAACACATGCATGAAAGAAAAAAACATTAAAATACATATCTAAGGGTTCATTTTCCTGACATCACATTATCTGACCTTTTCCGCTTGACTCATACATATACTAGATATTGCAAATAAGGGAAACCATGGGACCTATGTTTCTTTGGGCCTGGCTTACTTCACTTAATATAATTTTTTCCAAGTTTTTCCATTTCCTAACAAATGGGGCAATGTCATTCTTTCTGATGGAGGCATAGAATTCCATTGTGTATATATACCACATTTTCTTGATCCATTCATCTACTGAAGGGCATCTGGGTTGGTTCCATATCTTAGCTATGGTAAATAAGGTGCGGGGGGGTGGGGGGGAAGGGGGGGAGAAGGAGAAGGATTGGGATTGGGGGGGAGGGGGGAGGCTGGGTAGGGATGTGAAGGGTAAACAAAGGAGGAGGCTGCAATGCTTGGTAAGAAATGTACGCATTATCCTGCCCATGTAATTGTAGCCCCTCTGTACAGTATGTTCACAAATAAAATAAAATAAAATTTAATAAAAAAAAAAAAAAAGAGATATGGGGAAGGCAGGTGACGTACTGCCATGGTGTCTATCACCAAAAACTTACTTTATCGATGCATGGTTTTACACCAATCATGATGGACTCTCCAAATATCCTCCCATCTTTGCTTAAAGCTTTCCGGGCCTGCAGTTTAGACTGGTAACGAATATGCATCCAGTTTCCTGTGTTGGACATCTACAAAGAATAGAGTCTTCTCAAGATATAAAATATGTAAAATTTGTACTAATGAATTTTATCAGAAAATAGAAATGTGAGAATAAATTCATACTTTGACTTTTGTTTCATGCTCTCTAAAAACATTGTATATTATAATTCAACAAAAATCCAATGGAAGTTTTAATAATCTCTACCTAGCTCCAATTCTCTAAAACAAAAAGTAGATGGCTAATATACTCTAAAAGTAAAATAATTCTCAAAAAGTTTGTTTCCTGTAAAAAAAAAAAAAAAGCCAAATTGACACCTGATATGAAATTTTTAAGAAACTGTATTCAATACAATTTGGTATAGGAGTTAAGTTCATACTGATTGGGGGGGGGGGGGGGGAGGGACGGGGACAACTTGGGCAAGATATAAACGATCTTTTAAAACTCCCAATTAGAGAAAAAGCAGTAATACCATGAAACTTCTCTTATTTTATTCCCCAAAAGCTAGCTCATATTAGAAAATAGTATACTTTACTGGATATCAGTGGCTTACTCCTGTTCTCCTACCTATTCAGCAATCTGAGATCTGTTGAAACCAGCCAGAGCAAGAGAGTCTTTGAGAATCTTATCTCCAATTAACCAGCAAACACCCAGAAGTGGAGGTAGTGCTCAAGTGGTTAGAGCACTAGCCTTAAGCAAAAAGCTCAGAGACCTAGGCTCTAAGTTCAAGCCCCAAGACCAACAATAATAATAATCATAATAGTAATAATAAATAATTCATCTATTTTTAGTAATCTATCTTTTAAAGACACTGAATAATGGAGGAATAGATGCTGAAACTCTCAAGCACTATGCAATTCTGAGCCTTCTGGACAATAAATAACATCTGTAATCCTTACTACCAAGGAAGCTGAGATCTGAGGATCAGTGTTCAAAGCTAGCCATGGTAGAAAAGGCCATTAAGATTCTTAACTACAATTAACTACCAAAAAGCTGGATGAGCAGCTGTGGCTCAAATAGTGAGTAAAAAAGCTCAGAGACTGTGAACAGGCCCTGAGTTCAAGTCCTAGGACTGCTACCTCCCCACAACAAAAAAAAGTAAGTAAGTAGGTAAATAAGTAGGTAGGTAGGTAGGTAGGTAGGTAGGTAGGTAGGTAGGTAGGTAGATAGGTAGCCAGCCAGGCAGGCAGGCAGGCAGGCAAAGACAGATACACAGATACATACACAGACAGACAGACAGGCAGGCAGATTCAAAACTTCATGGGGAGAGCACTAGTTCTGAACTCAGGAACCTGCCCCCTTGCTAGGCAAGCATTCTACCACTTCACTCAAACACCCAGCCCTATTCTTTCAAAACTTAAAAAAAGCCGGGCGCTGGTGGCTCACGCCTGTAATCCTAGCTACTCAGGAGGCTGAGATCTGAGGATCGCGGTTCAAAGCCAGCCCGGGCAGGAGAGACTGTGAGACTCCTATCTCCAATAAACCACCAGAAAACCAGAAGTGGCGCTGTAGCTCAAGTGGTAGAGCGCTCGCCTTGAGCTGAAGAGCTGAGGGACAGCGCCCAGGCCCAGAGTTCAAGCCCCACGACTGACAAAAAAAAAAAAAAAAAACGAAAAAGAAAAATGTTATTTAGAAAAGCATACACAAAGTTCAGAAGTAGTTTCCTTCAATTCATAGCTTCTCTTTCCTCAGCCAAAATCTTGAATTAAAAAAAAGTACCCCTTACCACATGTTTTAAGATATTTCCATATTGTGCAAATTGTAGCAATATATAAGATGCAGATGCTTGTGGAAACCTGAAAAAAAGAAGTTATCCAGTTTAAGCAAGCAACTTCCTTTATCAATAGAAAACCACATTATTTTAAGTACGTCTGGATAAATTGCTACCCAAACTTCTAGTTTAGAAGATTAATAATAGGAAAACCCTAATTCACGCTGTTTTCTCCTATCTAGGCTAACTATGAAATACCGGTCATTCAAAGACAGATCCCTTAGAATTAGTTTTGACTCAGTAATTTTCTCCATACATTTTCTCTCTAAAATCTTCAAAATTCCCACTCTCATTGCCATTATCTCAGCTTTTCATAAACAATTATAAAGTTGTATTTCTGTATATGTGTTTTATAGTAGGTGTGCTTATAAGCACTCTTTAGGTTTATTATGATTTTTAGAAGGTAAAATAATTTAAATTATATAGCATTCCATTCTTCATTCTACATGAAGCACTATGTAAATTTTCTGAAATTTAACCTTCAAGCAAAAATAAAACTCAGTACCAATTAACAATGGTACTAGAATCCTTTTAAAGAATTGCAATCAAACTTTTAGTAGCCATGTTATATGAAAAGTTTAAGTTAAATATGTTTTGAATATTTTACAATAAAATAGCATCATTTTCCTAAATTTAAGCAATAAAGTTTTTTGGTTTTTGGTTTTTAATTTTTTTGTTGTTGTTGTTGGGTATGGGACTTGAACTCAGAGCCCGGGTGCTATCCCTAAGCCTCCTTGTGTTCAAGTCAAGCACACTACCACTTGAGTCACAGCACCAGTTTTTGAGTGGTTAATTGGAAATAGAATCTCAGGGGGACTTTTCTGCCTGGGCTGGCTTCAAACTGCAATCCTCAGATCTCAGCCTTCTGAGTAACTAGGATCACAGGTGTGAGCTACTGGTGCCCAGCTTTTTTTTTTTTTTCTTTTTGTCAATCATGGGGCTTGAACTCTGGGTCGGGGCACTGTCTCAGCTCTTCAGCTCAAGGTGAGCGCTCTATCACTTGAGCCATAGTGGCACTTCTGGGTTTCTGGTGGTTAATTGGAGATAAGAGTCTCTGAGATCTTAGCCTCCTGAGTAACTAGGATTATAAGCATGAGCCACCAGCGCTTGACTTTTTTTTTTTTTTTTTTGCCAGTCCTAGGCTTGAACTCAGGGCCTGGGCACTGTCCCTGAGCTTCTTTTACTCAAGGCTAGCACTCTACCACTTGAGCCACAGCACTACTTCCAGCCTTTTCTGTTTATGTGGTACTGAGAATTGAACCCAGGGCTTCATGCATGCTAGGCAAGCACTCTACCACTAAGCCACCTTTCCAGCCCCCAGCTTTTTTTTTTTTTTTTTTAATTTTAAAAATAGTGATAGCTATCTGTACGCAACTATCTGGAAGCTTTTTTTTGTTTGTTTTGTTTTTTTTTTTGGGTCCAGTCATGGGGCCTGAACTCTGGGCCTGGGCGCTGTCCCTCAGCTCTTCAGCTCAAGGCTAATGCTCTACCACAGCACCACTTCCGGCTCTTTTCTTTTTTTGCTTACGTGGTGCTGAGAAATCGAATCCAGGGCCTCATGCATGCAAGGCAAGCACTCTACCACTGAGCCACCTTCCCAGCCCCTATCTGGAAGTTTTTTATTTACTTTTGTCAGTCATGGGCCTTGAACTCAAGAGCCTGGGTACTGTTCTTGAGCTCTTTCACTCAAGACTAGCACCTACCACTTGAGCTACAGCTCCACTTCCCATTTCCTGGTGGTTAATTGGAGATAAGAGTCTTATGGACATTCCTGTGCAGGCTGGCTTCAAATTATGATCCTTAGCTCTCAGTCTCCTGAGTAACTAGGATTAAAGGCGTGAAACACCAGCAATCAGCTGAAAGTTTTTTTTTTTGTTTTTTTGGAGTTTTTTTGGTCCAGTCGTGGGGCCTGAACTCTGGGCTTGGGCGCTGTCCCTCAGCTCTTCAGCTCAAGACTAGCACTCTACCACTTGAGCCACAGCGCCACTTCCGGCTTTTTTCTTTTTTGCTTATATGGTGCTGAGGAATCGAACCCAGGGCCTCATGCATGCAAGGCAAGCACTCTACCACTGAACCAACTTCCCAGCCCTCAGCTGGAAGTTTTTTAAACTACTAATATAAATTAATCTGTACTTTCAACTAGAACCTCCCAAAAGAGAGCTGCTAAAGATAACTGAAAACTAAGCATATTAAAATCTATGTTAGTGAAATATTCACTGAAATCAAAATTAGAATTTTAATTTTAATTTACTTATATCTCTCTGGATATGAGAAATCTCACCCCTACAAATACATAAAATTAGGGTACCTCAAAGTACAAAAATGAAAAAGAAAAATACATTTCAAATAAGGTAGTACTTAAAAAACTAAAACCTAATTCTAGGGCCCAAGGTCTACTTTAAGTAGGAAGAAGTATTTCAATACTTTTAGCTGGGCACTGGTGGCTAATGTCTTTAATCCTAGCTACTCAGGAGGCTGAGATCTGAAGATCGCGATTCAAAGCCAGCCCAGGCAGGAAAGTCCCTGAGACTCTTATCTCCAATAAACCACTAGAAAACCGGAAGTGGTGCTGTGGCTCAAGCGGTAGAGCATTAGCCCTGAGCTGAAGAGCTAAGGGACAGCACCCAAGCCCAGAGTTCAAGCCCCATGACCGACAAAAAAAAAAAAAACTTTTAAAAGATCACTGAGAAGCTGGGAAGGTGGTTCAGTGGTGGAGCGCTTGCCTTGCATGCATGAGGCCCTGGGTTCGATTCCTCAGCACCACACAAGCAGAAAAAGCTGAAAATGGCTCTGTGGCTCAGGTGGTAGAGTGCTAGCCTTGAGCTGAAGGGCTGAGGGACAGCACCCAGGCCCAGAGTTCAAGCCCCATGACCGAAGAAAAAAATGAATCACTGAAAATAATGAATGACATTTCACAGTGACTGAGTCAGCATAAAAAACTACCAAGGAAAGAGCAAATATAAGGTGTTTTAGAAAAAATTTCCTGTAAATGATCAAAATGTCTCCCCTTAAGGAGACTGGGTAAATCTTAAAGTTAAACTCTTTTTTTTTTTGGGGGGGTCCGGTCATGGGGCTTGAACTCTGGGCCTGGGCGCTGTCCCTCAGCTCTTCAGCTCAAGGCTAGTGCTCTACCACTTGAGCCACAGCACCATTTCCGGCTTTTTTCTTTTTGCTTATGTGGTGCTGAGGAATCAAACCCAGGGCCTCAGGCATGCAAGGCAAGCGCTCTACCATTAAGCTACCTTCCCAGCCCCAAGTTAAACTCTTATATAGAGTTACTAGAACAAAGAAGTAACAAAATAACCTGGGCTGCATAGGCTTAATGGCTCACATCTGTAATACTAGCTATTCAGAAGGATGTGATCTGAAGATTGCCAACAGTCCAGGCAGGAGAGTCCATGACACTCTAATCTCCAATTAAACACCCCAAAAAAGTTAGAAGTACTGTTGAGGCTCAAGTAGTACAGCACTAGTCTTTGAACAAAAGAATCTCAGGGAGGGCTGGGAAGGTGGCTCAGTGGTAGAGCGCTTGCCTTGCATGCATGAGGCCCTGGGTTCAATTCCTCAGCACCACATAAGCAGAAAAAGCTGGAAATGACGCTTTGGCTCAAGTGGTAGGGCGCTAGCCTTGAGCTGAAAAGCTGAGGGACAGTGCTCGGGCCCAGGGTTCAGGCCCCATGACCAACAAAAAAAAAGAATCTCAGGGACAGCCGGGCGCCAGTGACTCACACCTGTAATCCTAGCTACTCAGGAGGCTGAGATCTGAAGATTGCGATTCAAAGCCAGCCCGGGCAGGAAAGTCCATGAAACTCTCCTCTCCAATAAACCACCAGAAAACCGGAAGTGGCGCTGTAGCTCAAGTGGTAGGGCGCTAGCCTTGAGCTAACGAGCTGAGGGACAGCACGAAGGCCCAGAGTTCAAGGCCCACGACCAACAAAAAAAAAAAAAAGTGACTCTTATGACTGGCAATGTGGCTTAGTGGTAGAGTGCTTGCCTAGCATGCATAAAGAAAGCATTGGGTTTGATTCCTCAGTACCACATACACAGAAAAAGCCAGAAGTGGTGCTGTGGCTCAAGTGTCAAAGTGCTAGCTCAGGGACAGTGCCCAGGCCCTGAGTTCAAGCGAGCACTGGTAGCTCACACCTATAATCTAGCTTCTTAGGAGGCTGAGATCTGATGATCATGGTTCATACCTGCCCAGGCAAAAAAGTCCCTGTGAGGCTCTTATCTCCAATTAACCACTCAAAACCCAGAAGTGGCACTGTGGTTTCAAGTGGTAGAGCACTAGCCTTGAGCACAAAGAGGCTCAGGGACAGCGCTCAGGTCCTAAGTTCAAGCCCCACAACCAACCAAAAAAAGAAAAAAATGCATTAGGATAGTCACCTTCTACTTCTAATCTTCAGTACTAAAATGTATAAATTCTATATAGCATAGTATACACACCATGTTAGTGAAAGTTAACACTATGTACCACAGAAACAGAGGCACAGCCACTGGAAAGTGGCTCCCTAAGGAAAAGTGTTACGGGAGGAAGCAAACTTATTAAATGATCTTAAAAAAAAAAAAATTTTAGGAATGGGAATGTGGCTTAATGGTATTGTGCCTGGCACACATGAAGCCCTGGGTTCTATTCCTCAGTACCAAATAAACAGCAAAAGCTAGAAGTAGCACTGTGGCTCAAGTGGTGGAGTACTAGCCTTCAGCAAAAGAAACTCCAGGACAGTGCCCAAGCCGAGTTCAAGCCCATGACTGGCAAAAAAAAATATCTATCTATCTATCTATCTATCTATCTACCTATCTATCTATCTATATATATTTATAGATAGATAAATATATTATATATATATATTTATAGATAGATAGATTTTTTTTTTAAGCCAAGTGCCTATGGCTCACATCTGCAATCCTAACTACTCAGAAGACTGACATGTGAGAATCACAGTTCAAAGCCAGCCTGAGCAGGATAGCAGGATAGTCTGTAAGACTCTTATTTCCACTTAATCACCAAAAAGCTGGAAGTAGAGCTGTGGCTCAAGTGGTAGAGGACTAGCCGTGAGCAAAACAGTTCACGAACAGTGTTCAAGCCCCAGAAATGGCACAAAAAAATAATAAAAAATTTAAATGCATGTATGTATGTATTGGGCTAGGTAGGGCTGGGAAGGTGACTCAGTGGTAGAGTGCTTGCCTTGCATGCATGAGGCCCTGGGTTCAATTCCTCAGCACCACAAAAACAGAAAAAGCTGGAAGTGGCGCTGAGGCTCAAGTGGTAGAGTGCTCGCCTTGAGCTGAAGAGCTTAGGAACAGTACCCAGGCCAGAGTTCAGGCCCCACGACCGACAAAAGAAAAAAAAAGATCAGGATAATATGCATAGTTGTCTACAATTTACTATAAAATACACCATAAAAAATGATAGATGAATTTGAGGGTAAGGACAAGAGGGGCAAAAGGGGGCAAACAAAGGAAGGAATGGTATCACCCAAGAGGCATTATACTCAGAACTTTACTTATGAAATTATAATTATAACCCTGTTGTACAACTACTTAGTAATAATTCAATTTTTTTTAAAAAGTAGATGGATACCATTCAGCAAACTGTTAGCAATTAAATAATCTAGGTAATGATGTATGTGTTTTCTGTCCAAGACTTTCAACTATTCTGTACTGTTTAAAAATTTTAACAAAAGTTGCAAAGAGAGAGATTGTTAAAGGTCCAAAAACCTTACCCAGTGCAAGGGAAGGAGTGATATTTGCAAAAAGAAATGTACTCTCTACTTGACTTATGTAACAGTGGTTTATGGTAACTTATGTAACTGCACATGACCTTTACAAAACAATAAAAAAAAACCTTACCCAAACACAGTCACCCAAGTGTCATCAAGGTGATCTTCTGAAGTCAGAGAATCTCCTTGTGTATAAAAAGGATCCAACTGGGCAGGAGATAGTGTCGTCTTTCGTGGCTGACCAATATTTGCTGGGCTAAACACACTTTGCCCTATATTGAGATACTTGGTTAAGTTAGTTATGAACATAAACAAGTTTGGTTTCTTTTAAAGCAAAGCTCTTAGTCTCAAAAGAAAATAAGCAATTATATAAACAGTTCAAAATATAAATAGTTGTAATCAAAGGATAATTTCAAACTAACACAATGAGAAAAAGTCATGAATAATTGGGCATAGTTTATGTTTTATTACACATTATAAATTTTTCAAATGTTCTGTTTTTAATTTCTGGCTGAGCCTTTCAACAAGGTTAATCTGTCAAGCTCAAGAACCTCTTTTTGGACTGATCATCCAAAATCCTATCACTTTTATCATAGTACCTCTGCTTTAAAATGTATTTAAGAAGGTGCTCAGAGCATAGCATGGTGGCTCATGCTTGACTCCCAGCACAAGGCAAGCTGAGGCAGGAACAAACATTACCCACAGAAAAAGATCAACAATACCTACCTTACCCTCTAAAATGTGAATATTGTTCTTCTTTAGGTCACTTCTATTTAGAGTTTCTAAATCTATTGTTTCTTTTTTTTTTTTTTGGTTGGTCGTGGGGCCTGAACTCGGGACCTGGGTGCTGTCCCTCTTCTCAGCTCTTCTGCTCAGGGCTAGTCCTCTACCACTTGAGCCACAGTGCCACTTGCAGCTTTTTCTGCTTATGTGGTGTTGAGGAATCGAACCCAGGGCCTCATGCATGAGCCACCTTCCCAGCCTCTAAATCTATTATTTCTAATCCTTCAATATAATAACTACTATGTAATATTTTCTTCCGGGCGCTGGTGGCTCACGCCTGTAATCCTAGCTCAGGAGGCTGAGATCTGAGGATAACAGTTCAAAGCCAGCCCAGGCAGGAAAGTCTGTGTGACTATCATCTCCAATAAACTACTAGAAAACCGGAAGTGGCACTGTGGCTCAAGAGGTAGAGCGCTCACCTGAAGCCCCACGACTGACCAAAAAAAACAAGTCCTATGCAATATTTTCTATGTGTCCAACAAAAAATGTCAAATTCTTCATGTATTTTTTGTTTTTGTTGGTGGCTCTTTGGTTTTCACCCAGTTATACTACATCGCTACTGGCCTCTCAATCCTCCTGCTTATGCTCTAGAGTAAAGGAATTAGAGGTACATATCTTCATGCCTGGCTATATATTTACTAGTTTTATCTAACTAAAGCTGCACTTATGAGAACCAGAGACTTTTTCTTTCATTTTTATAGTAGCAATAGTTTGCTCATTCAAGTAATAATTTTTAGCACTTAATGCACATCAGACATCATTCTTGGTATTAAGGATATATAATAACACGTTATTAAAAGATAAAAAAAAAAAAACAGGGGCTGGGAAAGTGGCTCAGTGGTAGAGCGCTTGCCTTGCATGCCTGAGGCCCTGGGTTCGATTCCTCAGCACCACATAAGCAAAAAGAAAAAAAGCCAGAAGTGACACTGTGGCTCAAGTGGTAGAGCGCTAGCCTTGAGCTGAAGAGCTGAGGGACAGTACCCAGGCCCAGAGTTCAGGCCCCACAACCAGACCCCCCCCAAAAAAAAGATTAAAAAAAAAAACAGGTTGGGAATATAGCTTAGTGGTAGAATGCTTATCTAGCATGCACAAAGCCCTGAATAGATTCCTTAATACCACATAAACAGAAAACTTAAGAAGTGGCACTATGGCTCAAGTGGTAGCGTGCTAGCCTTGCATAAAAGAAGTTCATGGACAGTGTCCAGGCCCGCCCCAGGACACACACACACACACACACACACACACACACACACACACACACACACACGAGCTTACCACACACACACACACACACACACACACACACACACACACACACACACACACACACACACACACACACACACACACACACACACACACACACGAGCTTACCTCTCATTAACCACCAAAAAGAGCTGGGGCTGAAATGGTAAGACTGCTTCAGAAAAGTGTTTAGGGACAGGACTGAGGTCACAGTTTAAAGTCAGCAGGAACAAGAAAGTCCATGAGACTCTTACCTCTAACTACCAAAAAGCCAGTAGTGGAGCTATAGCTCCACTAGTCCTAGCCTTGGACAAAAACGCTCAAAGATAGTGCCCAAGCTGAGTTCAAGCTGCAGGAATGACACACAGCAACACACAGACATACACACACACACACACACACACAATCCCGAGTTTGTACTTTAAGAAAAAAATAAAAATGGTTTAAAATGAATCATTCCACTTTGATAAATGTTTTTTTTTTTTAATAATCTGTTTATTAGCTGGGCACCATGGCTCATGCCTATAATCCTAGCTACTCAGGAGGCTGAAATCTCAGAATCATAGCTCAAAGCCAGCCCAGGCAGAAAAGTCCCCCTGAGACGCTTATCTCCACTCAAAGTGGTAGAGTGCTAACTGTGAGCAAAAGAGCTCAGAGACAGCACCAGATCCTGAGTTCAAGACCCATATAGGACTAAAAAAAAATCTGTTGGGGCTGGGAAGGTGGCTCGGTGGTAGAGCACTTGCCTTGCATGCTCGAGGCCCTGGGTTCAATTCCTCAGCACCACATAAGCAAAAAGAAAAAAAGCAGGAAGTGGTGCTGTGGCTCAAGTGGTAGAGCGCTAGCCTTGAGCTGAAGAGCTGAGGGACAGCGCCCAAGCCCAGAGTTCAGGCCCCACGACCGGACCCCCAAAAAAAAAATCTGTTATCAACTAATTTATCAACTTTTTTGGAAACAATGGGAAACACATACTTATATAAAAGATCCCTTAAATAAATTTAGTTCTTACTATAAACACATGCCTTTAATAAACCAAAGATAGTAAAAGGTACTTTATCATAAAATCTGAAGCCAATTCATTTTGTATGACCTGAATTACATTAAGAAGATACAACTTAGTTATGCCACATCATGTAATAACCCTCCAGCAAGAAATTAAATGAGGGCTCAAATTGAGACAACCATTATGACCTTTAAAAATAAGACAAATCAAAATTAAGTTTCAAATGAATAAGTAATCTAATTTTTGCCTTGTCAACTAATCTTAAAAATATAATTACTTGTACATAATCTAAAAGTATTTACATAAGTTTAGCATAATTGCCCCCCACCTGGTTAATGTTCAAATTGCTCCACTGATTTCACTTCCTCTAAATCAGACTTCTGGTACCCACATGCTATGCTTTACTAGATGTAAATAAAAATGTGTCTATCAAACCACATCAGATTAGACTGTAATTTTTGTCTTCCTTGTTAAATCACTATTCAAACATTCTTCACAAAATCCGATTAAAAGTGAAAGGCAAAAGACCTTCTTACCCTTTATGAAAATGTCTTTAATTAGAAAGCAGACTCAATTATTTCAAACTAATCTCAATGAAAACAAAAAAGATTAAAAATTGTAGTAAATTTTAAACAGGCAAATGGCAATTTTGAAAAAAGAAATCCTGTCTATGTTAGAACAGATTCTTACCATGAGACATAGTACCATAGCCTAAAGAATTTGTTCTCAATCCATTGTAAGATCTGACCTCCATCGAATTCCTGGTAACTAACTTCTAAACTCTAAGGGTTTTTCCAGCAATAGGACTACTTGTGTTATTTATAGTCAACTCCTGAGACTGACTCTGATACATTTATACTAACAAAGCAGAAATGAGTCACTCCAATAAAGGTTTGGTCTGAAAGGGCTGGTGCTTTGAGCAACACAGTATCATCCCAAAGGGCTGGGAAGGTGGCTCAGTAGTAGAATGTTTGCCTCGCATGCATGAGGCCCTGGATTCGATTGCTCAGCACTACATAAGCAGAAAAAGTCAGAAGTGGTGCTGTGGCTCAAGTGGTAGAGTGCTAGCTAGCATTGAGCTGAAGAACTGAGGGACAGCACCCAGGCCCCAGAGTTCAGGTGCCACAACGAACAACAAAAAAAAGATCATCCCAAAAAACAAAACAGTTTTTCTCCATCAGTTCTCCCCTAGCCCTCAACCAGCCAACGGTGAACTCCTTCCACCTACAAAAAGGATTTCAAGTAGTAGTTTATTAATACTTCAATTAATAAACATTCTTTCACCAATAATGACAAAAAGGGGGGGATTTTAAAATAAATATAAACTACAAAAGAACAAACAATAACTGATCACTATTCACCCACTGTTAAGACACAATAGGGAAAATAGAATGCTGCATTTCTAAATGCAATCAAAGAATAACAAAAAAGCCATATAAATTAAAATACAAAAGAGAAAAATTACCAAGGAAATCTCAAAAAATAAAACACAAACGACTTACAAGATAAAAAACAAAACCACAAATCTCCAAAGTGATTCAGCACACAAGCAAAAGGAACTCCAAAAAGAGAGTAAGGAGAAAGCAAAGCAAAGTATTAATATCAAATAAACCAGGAAAATTTCCCGGAACTGAACAATGAATCTAACTTGAAATGTTTCATCAGTTCCCCAGGGTCTGGGCCCTGTCCCTAAGCTCAAGGCGAGTGCGCTACCACTTGAGCCACAGTGCCACTTCCGGTTTTCTGGTGGTTTACTGAACATAAGAGTCTCACAGAGTTTTCTACCCAGACTGGCTTTGAACTGTAGTTTCAATCTCAGCCTCCTCAGTAGCTAAATTACAGGTGTTAAGCCACCGGCAACCGGCTCCAATCTTCTTTAACAGAGACAATATAAACCATAATGACAACTGTTTCTGATATTCTTTAATTCAAAATTATTTTATGATAGGGCCAAGGTTTTCTAATACCAGAAACAAAAATCTAAAAATGATCTCAATATCAGGTATGTAAGAAAAACAAGCAAATCTTATTGAACACAAGAAATTTATGCATCATGCTAATCTCTCACTCATACTCCATGACACAAATTTTTAAGTGGTCAATCTCAGAAGAATAAAATTTACAAATTACACAAGAAAGTAACGCTTAATACTAAATATAGAAACTAAAATACTTGTAACTGAAGCCTAGGATTTCCTGCTCAATTTTCTCGTCAACTCCTTTATTCTGTACCTTCTTTATTACTGACCATGTGTAAGTCCTCACACCTGTCACAACTATTTAAAATTGCTCTTTTTCATTTATGTCCTGTTAAATTTTCTACACATAAATTCCTTAAACTCAAAGAAGAGGCAGCAGTGGCTCCCAGTGGCCAATTTATGACAGTCATATTTTTTTCTACCATAGTTCTCATGCTCATAAACCATTACTTCAATTTTTAAAACCTCAGAGAAGTTATAGTTTAACAGAAAGATATTAAACTTTAATTATGTGCTCTTCCACTTGACAAGAAACTGTTTTTTCTGTCAACTGAGACAAAGTATACCACTGTCTACTATAATTTGAATATAGTAAGTTCCTTCTGACAATCACATTAAATACCCGTTAGGAGAGCAGAAACAAACTATATAGTATATAGAAGCTGAACTGTTGGCGCTATTAAAACTTGATAATATGAAGGCCCTATAACTTAATACTGGTGACTTTGTAAGAGGAAAGACCAGAAGACAAACACATAAACCCTTTCATCATGTGATGCTCAGTAGTATCTCAGGACTGTTAGCAAAAAGGGTATGTGGCCCTGCAACACTGAACTAGTGAGCCAAAATAAATCTTTTTCTTCACAGCTTACCAATATTGTACTATTAGCAACAGAAAATGGAGACCGTGCAAGACACCAGTGGCTCACACCTGTAGTCCTAGCTACTAAAGAGGATAAAATCTGAGGATTGCAGTTCAAGTGCAGCCTGGGAAGGAAAGTCCATGAAACTCCAATAAACCACCAGAAGTGGCACTGTGGCTCAAGTGGTAGAGCGCTCACCTTGAGCTGAAGAGCTGAAGGACAGCACCCAGGCCCACAGTTCAAGCCCCACGAATGACCGAAAAAAGAAAAACGGAGAACATTTTTGCATCTTGAACATCCCTGGTCCCTTAAAACTAAATAATCAGTATGTGTGTGTAACATTGCTATTACCTGTTATAAAAGTTTGGTCAAGTTATGGTTGTTAAGGCTAGAACCAATTCTACTAGGACCCTCAATTATGTAGTTGAGAAGGCATATTATCATTTGACCATGAGTCCCTCAGAACCAATGAGAGACTAGCTCCAGAATACCAAAATGCCTAAGTCCCTTATATAAAATAGTACAGCATTTACAATTAGCTTCTACATACCCTCTGATATACTTCAAATCACATCTGTATTTCATGCAATATAACAAATGCTATGTAAATTCTTATACTGTATTTTCAACTTGTGGTTGGGTGAACACAGATATACAGGGCCACCTCCATATAATAAACAAGACTTCTAGAGAAGGGACTGGGTTGGGAAGGATGACGGAGAATGATGAAAGAAGTGACATGGACCAAGATGCATTGTATTTATACTGATTTGTTGAATGGTAACTCTTCTGAACTACTACTGAAAGATAATAAAGATATTTAATTTAAACTTTAAAAAGAGAGAGAGAGAGAGCTAGTCAGTCAGTGGCTCAGGCCCTAGTTATTGGGGAGGCTGAGAGCTAAGGATTAAGGTTTGAAGTAAACCCCAGCCGGAGTCTGTGAATCTCATCTCCAATTAAGCACCAAAAAGCCAAAAGTGGCACTGGAACTATGGCTCAAATGACAAGAGTACTAGCACTGAGCAAAAAAAGCTCAGGGACACCATTCAAGACCTGAGTTCAATCGTCAGGACCAACACACACACACACACGCACGCACACACGCACGCACGCACGCACACACAACCGGACTTTAAAGATCTCTCCAATATTCTGTCCCTGGGTAGGACTGACCATTAGGTCAGTTAAACACTAATTTAGGTATTTCTGTGAAAGAATTTTGTAGATGGAATTAAAATTACTAATCAGCTGATCTTAAAATGAAGAATTATCTGGACCAGGGATGTAGCAGGTCTAAGACCCAAAGTTTGATACTCAACACCACAAAAAAAAAAAAAAATTGTCCTAGATTATATCATTTTACCCAAGAAAATCAATAAGCCCTAACAACAAAAAGCAAAAAAGTCAAGTCAAAGAAATATGAAATATGGGGCTGGCGGTTTAGCCCAGCGGAAGGGCGCCCACTCGGCGCGTGCAAGGCCCTGGGTTCGGTCCTCAGCCCTGGAAAAAAAAAAGGAAAAGAAATATGAAATATTTAAAAAAAAGACATGATCTGCCATTGCTGCCACTGAGGATGAAGCCATGGAATGAGAAAAGCCTCTAAAAGCCTAAGGACAACCTGAAGTGCTACTACCACACGGAACTGAATTCCACCAACTTCCATCTGGATTCATCTCTATAGCCTCCAAAAATAAGCACAAAACAATGCTGATACCTCAGCTCCAAGAGAAAAAAAAAAAAAATAACCTCCAACAATGTCTAAATGTCTTACCCGCAAAAATTGTGAGATAAATAAATTTCTGCTATAAGCTACAAGAGCCACAAGGTTCATGGTATTTTGTTTTCTCAGCAAAAAAAAGTTCTACATAATTTAGGTGCAAAACAGGTATTTTTATTAACAAGAAAGAGATTGAGAGAGCGAGAAACAGACAGACAGAGATTAGATTATATTGCCTTTAACAAACTGTCAGTGCAAATCTAGCCCTTCAGGATATTGCCAGTAAGGGCTCAAAAGACATGCTGAAGAAAGCTGGAGTGGATCTGGAATGTTAAAGATCCAACATTCTCACAAGCTCTGTATTTTAACTAGAATGTCTAGGATATTTTATTTTGTGCAACTGTTCATTTGGTTTATTGTAAATCCACTTTCTTGCTGTTACATTCCATCTATTATGTTGTTCTTGCTGTCTTCTTCTTTGCCTTCTTTTTTGTCTACCACCATCTCCAAACACATTTGCTTCCTTTTACCCCAATCACTCACTAGCAAACTACTATCAGTAACATCCTCATTCAAATTGTTTTTCAACTTTTCTAGGCAATTATCAGGTATTACAATGACCTACAGATAAAATAATCTGTGCCCACTACCCCTCTCATTTTATTTCCTACTGTTTTGGTTTGGACTCAGGGCCTTTTGCACTTGCTAGGCAATGCTTTAACCACTTGAGCCACTCAGCCAGCCTCTCAGGCATCCTTAAGAGAGATGTGACCACAAAAGAACTGTTAAGAGAGACTCTAAGTTGTTGGCTTTGAAGACAAAAGAGACTATGGGCCAAGAAATGTGAGTAGCCTCTAAAAATAGAAAAGCGAAAAACAGATAAATTAATACAGCCCTTCCAATGCCCTAATTTGGCCCAATCAGACCTATTTTAAACCTTCTGACTTCTAAATCTTTACAGTTTAGTAATATGTTTATATTGCTTAAGCCATTATAAGTTTGCAGAAACATTAAGGCACAAAAGAAAGTTTAATATACCTAATTTAACCCTCCCACTCAAGAAGCTAAAGTAAGAGGATCACAAATTTGAGGACTCAATTACACAGCAAGATCCTGGCTTAAATTTTTTTTAATTATGGGGTTCAGAATGTGGCTTAGTAGTAGAGTGCTTTTCTAACATATAGGAAGCCCTGAGTTTGATTCCTCAGTACCACATAAACAGAAAAAAACCAAAGTGGCACTGTAGCTCACATGGTAGAATGCTAGCCTTGAGCAAAAGAAGTTCACGGACAGTGCTTGGGCTCTGAGTTCAAGCACCAGGACGGGCAAAAAAAATTAATTATATATACCTATATACATATATAAATATAAACATACACATATTCTGCTTTAATTTTTCCCTCCAGAACATATTACCTTCTAACCTAATTTACTTATACTGTTGAAAAAATGGAAATCCTATAAATTAAGCTCTATAAAGTCAATAATTTCATATTTTGTTCACTATTTCCTTCGTCTGGCAACTAGGTAGGTACTCAAACATTTGCTAAGATTAATGTGGTCATAAGCATATCAACATATAAAGAGTTGTATGCTAACACACATATATAACCTCAGCATTCAAGAGGCAAAGGCAGCAGTATCAAGAATTTGAGACCAAAGCCAGGTGTCAGAGGCTCAAACCTGTAATCCTAGCTACTCAGGAGGCTAAGATCTGAGGATCATGGTTCAAAGGCAGCCCAGGCAGGACAGTCCCTGAGACACTTATATCTCCAATATACCACCAGAAAACCAGAAGTAGCACTGTGGCTCAAGTGGTAGAACGCTAGCCTTGAGTTGAAGAGCTGAGGGACAGCGACCAGGCCTAGAATTCAAGCCCCTTGACTGACCAAAAAAAAAAAAGAATTTGAGACAAGCCAAGCACGGTGGTTCATGCCGCTTATCCTAGTTACTGAGGAGGCTGAGCTCTGAGGATTATGGTTCAAAGTCAACCTTGGCAGAAAATTCCATGAGACTCATCTCCAACCAATCATGGAAAAGCCAGAAATGGAGTTGTGGCTCAAGTGGTAGAGTGCCAGTCTTGAGTGAACAAGCCAAAGACAGTACCCAAACCCTAAGTTCAAATCCCAGGACTGTGGCTGTTATTTAGAAAATAAAGTTCTTGGGCAGCCTGAGCTACATAGCTCACTATCTTGTTTCAACAACAACAACAAAAAAAGAAACATGTGCTAAAGATGATTATAGTGATAAAAAAGATGAATGTTAAAAGAAAAACTAGATATAGTGGCTGCTTCAATGTCATTTAGATTTATACCTATGCATTAATCATTCTCAACACTCGTTCATTATTCAGTATGAGTATTTATGTTTCATGCCATTTGCAACAGCTCTTCTGATCTTAGTTTTTAATAACCCAGGAGACACTTCAACTATTAATAATTTTTAAAACACTATTAATATTTTCAATAGGATACCCTATCATAGCTATAAATTCAAAAATAATCACCATATGTATAAAATATTTCCTAAAGGACATTATTGACATTTGAGAAAAGTCTTCATGTCTAAGTACATAGTTAAAAAGTAAGTAATTAGCAACAAAAGTCTTAATTATCTTTGATCAGAAGAGAGAATAGACTTGGGTGTTAAAGGAGTTGTTTACCTGTTCCAGGAGTAGTTGTAACTCCAACAAGAGGACTCTGCATTACTGAAATGTTTGTCTACATTAAAACAAAACAAAGCATTAGGGTAAAACTGCAAAGTGCTAACCACTAATAAAGACAGTAATTATCAAAACAATTTTTCAATCAATAACTAAATATCCGAAATTCATGAGAGAGAATTAGTACTATAGTTGTCTATAATCAAATCACAGTACCATGGGTAGGCTTCTTTTTTTACTTTTTTGTTGTTATGTTTAGCAGTCATTATTAACCAGACATATGCTAGACCATTCATAACATAGTTGTTTAAAATAAGAAAATGTACACTGGGTAAAAAGTATTCTGCAGGAAATAATTAACCCAGTTGCTATCTAGTTCTCAATGTACAATAATTAAAACAATGAAGATAATGATCCTTCAAATCACCAAATTCACATACAAAAAAAAAGTATCAATTTTAATCAGCTATAAACTATAAAATACAAATTAAAATCATCCTGGACAATGAAAAACTACATAACCCTAAACTACCAGTAAAAAGTTATAAAGCTGGGGGCTGGGAAGGTGGCTCAGTGGTAGAGCGCTTGCCTTGCATGCATGAGGCCCTGGGTTCGGTTCCTCAGCACCATATAAGAAAAAAGAAAAAAGCCGGAAGTGGCGCTGTGGCTCAAGTGGTAGAGCGCTAGTCTTGAGCTGAAGAGCTGAGGGACAGCGCCCAGGCCCAGAGTTCAGGCCCCAAGACTAGAACCCCCCCAAAAAAAGTTATAAAGCTGAAAATGTACCATTACTAGTCCTATAAACATGAAAAAAAAATCAAAAGTAATTTTAAATCATCCTATAAACCAAAAACAACAACAACAGTATCCAACCAAAAACTGACAAGAGCTGGGTGCCAATAGCTCACAGCTGTAATCCTCACTACTCAGGTGGCTGAGATCTGAGGAGTGCAGTTCAATGGCAGCCCAGGCAGAAATGTCCATAAGAGGGGCTGGGAAGGTGGCTCAGTGGTAGAGCACTTGCCTTGCATGCTCGAGGCCCTGGGTTCGATTCCTCAGCACCACATAAGAAAAAAGCAGGAAGTGGCGCTGTGGCTCAAGTGGTAGAGTGCTAGCCTTGAGCTGAAGAGCTGAGAGACAGCGCCCAGGCCCAGAGTTCAGGCCCCATGACCGGACCCAAAAAAAAAAAGAAATGTCCATAAGACTTTTATCTCCAATTAACCAGGAAAAAAAGCTAGAAAGCGGAAGAGGGTATGGCTCACGTAGGAGCACTAGCCTTGAGCACAATAGCCAAGTGAGAGCACAGGATGGGACTTCTAGACCTAGTACTGGGAGAGGGAAGGAATGTGCAGAATCACCTGCATGAGAAAAAAATCTACTTTCTTTTATCTTTTCTGAGACAGAGTCCTATTATGTGGGCATGTTGGCCTTGAACTCTCCCTTAGCCTTATGAGTACTATGATTACAAGGCATGTGCCATGAAGGATAACTTACAGTTCTATTATATTTCTAAGTATATTTCATAATAAACACAATTTAAGTAGAGTCTATGATAAATTGTATTTAATACTTATTTTGTGCAACATAGCTATTCTGTAACAGACTTTAGGAAACAATTTATCTAACTCCTGACCCCCACTGTGTAGCCACTTAGAAATATAAATCAATTAACCATAAATCATAGGACATGAATATTAATCATGGACCATGAAGATATGAACATTACCTGTCTTCTTGAATTTAAAGGTGTTGATCCAAGTCCTGGGCTAGAAATTTCATCATATATACTTCTAACAGGTGGAGCTCCACTTTTATCTTTATGAGCTGGTACAACTGGTTGTGGTGGTGATCCACCTACAAAATACCAAAAAAAAAACAAAAAAAAAAACCCACAATCCAGTGATAGAACAATCTTTTTATCTTCTATTTTTTTTAACTTGTGTTTTTGAAATATTGACAAAACAAGAGAATAGCCCTCATCTCCTAGGGCTATTCAAACTTTAATACTGTTATATGCCTGAAAGATAACATTAGAATCTTGTTGAAATTCATACTATGATTCAAAAGGTATGGGGTGGAGGCTAAAATTACAAAGTGCTAAAAAGCTTCCACGTAATGCCACTGTTGCTGAGTCATAGACTGTAGTTTGAAGAAAAGGTTTCTGAGTTAAGTAGTACATAAAAATTACAACTTTTAAAACTCAGATTTGCTGGGCACCAATGGCTTGTACCTGTAATCCTAACTGTTCAAGAGGCTGAGATCTGAGGATTTCAGTTCAAAGTCAGCCAGAGCAGAAATGTCTTTGAGACTCTTATCTCCAATTAACCACAAAATTCTCAAAGGGAATCTGTGACTTAAGTGCTAATGCGCTAGCCTAGATCAAAACAGCTCAGAGACAGTCCCTGTCTCCCCCAGATTGCCTAAGCGGCAAGCATATTCTCTCTCTCTCTCTCTCTCTCTCTTTCACACGCACACACACACTCACACACACACACATAACTTTGTAACTTTTGCTTTCTTTACTAAGTGCTTAACACTTCAGTGGAAAAAAAATGTAATTTGTGGCTACTTAGGAGGGTGAGATCTAAGGATCCTGATTCAAAGCCAATGTAATCACCAAAAAGCCAGAAGTACAAGTTGTGGCTCAAATGGCAAAGAGCTAGCTAGCCTTGAACAAAAATGTTGAGGGTTGGTGCCCAGGCCCTAGCACTGGAACAACAACAAAAATAATTTCAGAAGCAGAAACATGCCCACTTAAAAGAGGTTGAGGTGGGAAGATAATGAACCTATGGGTTAAAGTGTGAAGAACAAAGAAAGACACTATCTCAAAATTAAAAAAAGAAAATATGAGTTCATTTCTCATCTGAAAGTACAATTTCAGGATGTGAAGGTGTGTCTCAAAGGGTAGTGTAGTGGCCTAGGCTTGAGCATAGAAGCTCAAGGACAATGCCCAAGCTAGGAGGAATGCAAGTCCCAGAAACACCCTCGCCTGAAAAATACTTCATTCCATGAATACCTGAATTATCTCTAAGTGTGGAATTTGTCTGTCAAAATTAAGCAGATTTCATTTATATTTCTCAGAGTAGCATATTTAGGTAGGAATAAAGATGCATAGAATAATCAACTTTTGTGACGTAACAATGGTTTTGTAAGTCAGAGAGCCAACAAAGTTGCATAATGAAGCAGCCCAGGACCCTGGGGCTTGCTGGAAAAAAAAAAAGCCGCGAGGGGAAAAAAAGCAGCTGGAAGTTCCACCTGACAATTTTATGTTTTTTTTTCTTTCCATGGTGACCATTCTGGGTACGAACATGGCTGCCTGCAGAGTGAAAGTGACCTGGCATGGCTGAAGGCCTGCTGGTTTTCGTGAAGCCACAGGCTAACCAGACAATGGAGGCCCGGAGGACGAATCCCAGTCAGCCCTGTTAAGATGAGGGAATGGCCAGAGATCCTGGGACACTTTTTTCCGGGCCTAGGAAGAATGGTGGAATGCAATCAATCTCATCCTTGAATGAGTAGTTCCTGCTTGATGTGAGTAGGAAATGATAGGCAAGACTCATGGGGTATCGATTATTTTTAATGAAGAATTGATGAAGAGTGACCATAATCATCACAGTCATGAAATGGAGGCATCGGGGAAGGTAGAACACAAGGTAGATTCCATCACAGGTCGCCATCTCTCCTAAGATGATGAGAGACTGGAGTACAGCATAAGCTAATTAGAGCAAAGGCTATAGAATAAAATGGATCTAGGCTTCTATGTTCACTTCAACTGAAGTGAACATAGCCAATTGCTTAATACATTTAACCTCATATTTCTCTTTTGGAAAGTAGATACTACCCTTTGAAAAGCAGAGATACTATTTACACCTACCCTTAGACTGGAGTACAGCATAAGCTAATTAGAGCAAAGGCTATAGAATAAAATGGATCTAGGCTTCTATGTTCACTTCAACTGAAGTGAACATAGCCAATTGCTTAATACATTTAACCTCATATTTCTCTTTTGGAAAGTAGATACTACCCTTTGAAAAGCAGAGATACTATTTACACCTACCCTTTAAAATTGGTATTTTTCATGAGATAATCTATAAAATAACATAAAGCCTGTCTCACAAACAATATATGGAAGCCACAATAAAATAATACATCTGATATTTTAACATCTGTCCTGAATATAATGCTTTAAAATGAATTAATTTCAAATATAATATGACAAAAGCCTGTCTCATCAATGCTAATAAAAAAAGGTAAGAAACCACTTTATGCCAAGTAGTATTTTAAAAGGCAACTAAAGAAAGAAGAAGCCAGGCACCAGTAGCTCATGCCTATAATCATAGCTACTCAGGAGGGTAAAATTCAAAGCCAGTCTGGGCAAGCAAGTCCGTGACTTCAGACTCTAATCTCCAATTAGCCACCAGAAAACCGGAAATGGCACTGTGGCTCAAGTGGTAGAGGGCCCGCCTTAAGCTGAAGAGCTAAGGGACAGTGCCCAGGCCCACAGTTCAAGCCCCAGGGCCAACCAAAAAACAAGAGTATTAGGTTCACAGAATTCTTCCATTTCAACAGTTCTTACTACACATAAGTAAAACATGAAAGTTACCTCTTAAAGTGTAATTTTGCTAAAAAAAAAAAATCAAAAAAAGTCCTACAATAAATATGGGCTACACATGCATTGATACACTGTAATAAAACTACTCTAAGCAATTCACCTACCTGCAAGTAAAGGTGATCTCATTTCCATGCAATTCACCTACCTGCAAGTAAAGGTGATCTCATTTCCATAACTCCAACTGAAGGTCCACTTATTGTTCGAGGTTGTGGAGTCACTGGAGCGGGCAAATCCCCCATTAAAAATCCAGGTAAGAACTGGGCATTAACTCCTGGCTTTGGAGATGTAGGTGAACCCAGCATCATTGGTTCAGATCCTAAATCAATGAAACCATAAAGTTAAATCTATCATAAAGATATAACAATCTAGCATAAGTTTGAGAATTTAACCAAAATTCTTATTTAAAAAAAAAGTTACGGGCTGGGAAGGTGGCTCAGTGGTAGAACGCTTGCCTTGCATGCCTGAGGCCCTGGGTTTGATTCCTCAGCACACCACATAAGCAAAAAGAAAAAAGCCGAAAGTGGCGCTGTGGCTCAAATGGTAGAGCGCTAGCCTTGAGCTGAAGAGCTGAGGGACAGCGCCCAGGCCCAGAATTCAGGCCCCACAACTGGACCCCCCCCCAAAAAAAAACCAATATTATTCCTAGAAACACAAAAGTAAACATCTATTCACAATATTAGTCTTCAACAGTTGTTTTTGTTTACATTGCACTGGCTTAGGAAAAATCAACACTTGCTTCTCTGTTAATGTGCCTAGCAATACTGGAGCTTGAACTCAGAGTCTCACTTGGCTTTTTCCACTCAAGTCTGGAGCTCTACCACTTTTGCCATACCTCTATTGCGTACCTCATTTTTGGCGGTTAATTGGAAATAACCATTGTTTTAAACTCTGATCCTCAGCTTCCTTAGAATAAGAGGCATGAGCCACCAGTGCCTAGTAACTGATTTTAAATAATAATAATTAGCCAGGTATAGGGGTGGGTGCCAGTAATCCCAGCACTCAGGAGACTAAGACAAGAAAACTGAAATTTAAGGTCTCTCGTATTCCTAGCTACTCAGGAAGTGTGGTACACTGAAGACCAGACCCTGGCTCAGACTACTCAGGAGGCTTAGACCTGAATGAAGACTGTACAATGTCAGCCCAGGCAGCAAAGTCTAACAGACTCTCTTCAATTAACCAGGAAAAAGCTAGACAAGAGGTCTGGTTCAAGTTGTATGCAAGGGTACTGTGTTCAAGCCTCAGAACAAAATCCAGCAAAAACTATAGCAAAAAGATACAGTACAGTTGGGGGTTTAGCTCAGAGAAAGAGTACTTGTCTAACAAGTATAAGGCCCTAAGTTCAGATGTCAACTCTGGGGGAAAAAAAAGATATAGTTAAAAAGAGTTGCAAATTTTATCTCTTTAATTATTATTTAATTATAATCATTATATATAATTATATCAATATTATATTAATATACATGTTATAGTAACAGATATACAAATTACATAAAATGTCAATATTAATAACACAATTATATAATTAATATTAATATACTATTATATACCTATTAAAATAAATATATAACTAATAACTGTATTACCTATTACATAATTATTAGGTTGCTAGATTAATTATGAGATTTCCTAATATCAAATAATGACTAATAACTCAAATTAATCTTCACAACTTACGTAAGTTATTAGTCCTATGGGAAACTAATTTATTCTAGCTATTCAGAATAAACAAGCACAGTAAAATAGATCCAAAACAGTCAGATATGTGGATTCAAGTTCTCTAAGCAAAATGAACAGGGCTGGGAATGTGGCTTAATGATAAGAGTGCCTGCCTAGCATGCATGAAACCCTGGGTTGGACACTACAGTACCACATGAACAGAAAAAGCTGTGGCTCAAGTAGTAGAGTGCTAGTCTTGAGCTAAAGAAGCTCAAGGGCATTGCCCAGGCCCTGAGTTCAAGACCCAGGAATGGCCCAAAAAAAAAAAAAAAATGAATAGAAGGGTAGCCATAAAATCATAGCTTTTACAGTATTAGAATTACAACAAGGTGTGACTGTAAATTTGAAACCTCAATTTTTCCACTATATGACAAACCTGAGTTTGATTCATAGCACACTTGTAATCCTACCTACTCAGGAGGTTGAGATCTGAGGATCATGGTTTGAAAGCCAACCCAGGCAGAAAACTCCAAGAGACTCTTACCTCCAATTAACCACCAGAAAACTAGAAGTAGTGCTATGGCTCCAAGTGGTAAAGCACCAGCCTTAAGCGCAAAAGCTCAAAGACAGTGCCCAGGTCTTAAGTTCAAGCCCCACAATGGACAATTAAGGGAAAAAAAAAAAAGGCCAAGTGTTCAGAATGTTATTTAAATGACTTTTATTAACTATTTCTTTACTTCTAAATAGCCTAAAAAATTTCTTTCTTAGGGCTGGGAAGGTGGCTCAGTGGTAGAATGCTTGCCTTGCATGCATGAGGCCCTGGGTTCGATTTCTCAGCACCATATAAGCAAAAAAGAAAAAAGCCGGAAGTGGCGCTGTGGCTCAAGTGGTAGAGTGCTAGTCTTGAGCTGAAGAGCTGAGGGACAGCGTCCAGGCCCAGAGTTCAGGCCCCACGACCGGACCCAAAAAAAAAAATTTCTTTCTTAGAATTCTAGGAAATAGAAACATTTTTTGGTGGTGGTGATGGTGCTGCTTTTTTTTTTTTTTTTGGTCCAGTCGTGGGGCCTGAACTCTGGGCCTGGGTGCTGTCCCTCAGCACTTCAACTCAAGGCTAGCGCTCTACCACTTGAGCCACAGCACCACTTCCGGCTTTTTTTTCATTTTCTTTTGTGGTGCTGAGGAATCGAACCCAGGGCCTCAGGCATGCAAGGCAAGCGCTCTACCACTAAGCCACCTTGCCAGCCCGATGCTGCTTATTTGCTTTGAGGTTGCTTGCTGGGGGGGGGGGGGGGGGTGGGGGGGGTAATGGGGGGTCTTTTTAGGGGTAAAGAGGGAATGGCAGAAACAAAGAAAAGTGTGAACAAATGCAGTTATGGTATTCAGTATACACTATGTGGGAAATGAACTATGCAACTTGTAGGCAGGAATGGGAGATGGGAAACTGGAGGAAAGCAAACAGGTAACATTGCCCAAAAAAAACTGTACTCTATCTCATTTATGAAATGATAACCCCTCTGTACCACACCTTAATAACAGTAAAATTATAGTTAAAAGGGCACCGGTGGCTCACGCCTATAATCCTAGCTACTCAGGAGGCTGAGATCTAAGGATCGTGGTTCAAAGCCAGCCCGGACAGGAAACTCTGTGAGACTCAAATCTCCAATAAACCACCAGAAAACTGGAAGTGGTGCAGTGGCTCAAGTGGCAGAGTACTAGCCTTGAGCTGAAGAGCTGGGGGACAGCGTTCAGGCGGAGTTCAAACCCCATGACGGAAAAGGAAGAAAAGGAAGAGAAGGAAGGAAGGAAGGAAGGAAGGAAGGAAGGAAGGAAGGAAGGAAGGAAGGAAGGAAGGAAGGAAGGAAGGAAGGAAGGAAGGAAGGAAGGAGGGGGGAGGGAGGGAGAGAGAGAGGGAGGGAGAAAACCCATTCTTTAAAAAAAAAAGGTTAATACTAAAACAAGATGTAACACATGATAGTTACATTGTAATTATTTCACAAGTGTTAGTTATTATGTTACCTGGTACTACAACATTAAACACTAAAATGAAACTAAAAGCCAAAATAAAATATTTTGAACAAACATTAGGAAATCATAGCAATAAAATATCAAGTTGTTGGTAACAATCCAAACTACCTTCACTCACTCTTCTCAAGAGGAAAATAAAATGGCAAGTTTAAGAAAGTGTTGCTCTTTTTAAGAAAAGAATGAATAAGGCACAACAGTTTCAGAATGTCACTATTCCTTGGGGTTAAATTTTACTTAAGATAACTTAACCAAGGATCCCTGTTTGTCTTAAACTTCGTTTGGGCTCTTTAATAATTAAGCACTGTAATTTATCTTAGCAAAACTTGCTGATATAAACGTTTAACTTAATATCTCAGAAAGTTCTGGGGGAAAAAAATGTAGGTACCAGAGTTCATCTGCAACGTGGACTAGAACAACATCAGGAGTGGCATTATTCACATTTGTAACCCCAACAATATGCACTCTTCAGTATGTTTGGAACAGAGAAAACTAGAACTAAAAATGAAGTTTCTTGGTCTCTAAGCTAAAAGAAATATAACCAGATCAACATATGTACACAAGTTTTCATTGGCATTATGGAAATTATTGTTTTTTTATAATGTTAAAACAATTCATGTTATTTTATCCTCAAAAAAAAAGTTTGCAACACAAAACACAGCAAGCATTATACTCCCTTCAAATCAAAACTAAAGAAACTCTCGGGCTAGGAATGTGGCTTGGTGGTAGAGTGCTTGCCTAGCATGCATGAAGCCCTGGGTTCGATTCCTCAGTACCACATAAACAGAAAAAGCCGGAAGCGGTGCTGTGGCTTGAGTGGTAGAGTGCTAGTGTTGAACACTGAGAGGCTCAGGAACAGTGTGCAGGTCGGGCCCTGAGTTCAAGACAAAGGAAGGGAAGGAGGAATGGAGGAGGAAAGAAAATTCTCAATACACATTGTACTTTCTTGTCCAAATTCAGAAAATTATAGTTTAATACTAATGTAAGCTGTGATAATAAATGTTTCGTTTTGCTTTTTCTCCTAAGTTTCAGCGGTTCCCACAAGTTAAAAAAAAAAAACAAAAAAACGCCAGAGCAAGAAGATCAATTATTAACTTGGTTTTGTTTTAGTTTTCTTCGAAGTTCCAAAGAAATAATTGGAATGAATTTGTGTGTGTGTGCGTTTATATCTATCTGTACTGGGGTGGAGTTTAAACTCCGAGCCTGGGCACTGTCCCAGGTAGTACCCCACCACTTGAGTCACAGCTCCACCTCTGGCTTTGGGTGGTTAACTGGAGATGAGTCTCACAGCTTTTTCTAGCCCGGACTGGCTTCGAACCCCGATCCTCAGATCTCAGACTCCGGAATAGCTAAGCTTCCAGGCGTGAGACTCCAGTGCACAGCAGGTATGGAAAACAAAACAACAAAAAGAAAACCACGTGGAGGATAATCAAGAGGAGAAGACCTCCAGCGAGGCCTCTTCCCCCATACCGTTCGAACTCCTATCTTCCTGCACAGGCCAGTCCTCTCGATGGGTCCCAGCATCCGGCGGATGACACCTGGACCGGGGCACACGGCCATTACCAACCCGGGGTGGGTGGGGGGCGCCGGGCCCGCGGCGGCCCCGCCCACCCGCCCACGTGGGTCAGGTCCACTCTCCACACACTCGCCCGCACGCTCGCCCGGGCTCGATCCCCGCCGCGGGGCCCGCAGCGAGGGGAGACGCGGCCAGCCCGGAGGGCGCGGAGCCGGCGGAGCCCGCGCGGCCCGCACCCCGCGGCCGCTCCCCCGACTGGGGCACGCTGACCACGCCGGGGCCGGCGCCCGAGAGGAACCGCGACGGAGCACGACGCGCCCCGCCAACGGCCACTGCCTGGCGGCGGCACCCTGGCTCCCCAGCCGCTCGCAGCCGGCAGCGTGGGTGACAGCGCCGGCGCGGGACGGCAGGCGGCGGGCCACTCACCTAGCGCGGGCGCCTGGGGCTCCACGGCAAACGATGCCATCTGGACCGCGGCAACTACCGTGAAACCCAGGACCTTCCAATTTTTCAAAAATGGCGGAAACACCCCCACCTGCGGGCGGGGGCGCGCTACGTGCGCTGCTGCGTCACTTCCGGACGTGCGTGGTAGGCACCCTGAGGGCGGCGGGACTCCTGGCATCGAGCGGGCGGTTCTTTCCCCTCTCTGCCTGGCAGTCTGGACGGGTGAGTAGTCCGGCTTCTCAGGCCGAGCGCTGAGCTGGTGTGGAATCGGCTTCGGGGCATGTCTTGGGCACGCTGTCAAGCCTCCCAATGTGGTGGTGCTTGCATTTCATGAGGGCAAATCCCGCACTTTCCATAATCGACCTGACTTTCCCTGTGTCATGGGTCAGCTATGTCCTAGGCCAAATTTTGTCCTGAACACAGGACCCTTCCTTGTCAAGACATAATTTTCATCTGTATTCTAGTTGTGTTCTCTGGGCACACTCACGTTAAGGCGTAAGTCTCAAGGCTGTTGGAGTGCACATTAATACACACACAACAGTATACCTTCATAAGAGAAGTCAGGGCACCCCTGTGCTCTCCTAGCCTTGCTGGCCGCCTTCCCCCTCCTCTCACTTTGCTGCTTTTCCTTAAGGCTGATCATGTATTGGTCACACACAATCTGTAACGTGTGAAAAACTAAAAATTTAAATTTACTTTTTACAAACTTTATAAAATGCTGCATGTTCCATATTCTGGGATGCTCCGTAGTCCCAACATGAAGTTCATGTTTCAAAAATAGCCACGTGTCCTTCTGTTTCCTCTGAGGCTTTCAAAAATCCTAAATCTAGAATGACTTTTGTCACTGAGATAATTCAATAGCAATTCCGGAATTATATAATAGGTTCTCAGAATTCATCATTTAAAACCATTTCAACTGACTTTTTAAAAATTTCATTGGGTATGTCCAATTCTGTTACCCAAAAAGTTGTGTTCAAGGCTTACTCTTGTATCTACAAATGTGAGTTTACTTGGAAATAGTGACCTTGTAGATACAATAAAATTCAGATGTCATACTAGATTACCACCAATTTGGTTAGGCAAAATAACACAACTTTTTTATCTTTATGTACTTTGAAGGTCAGAAAAACAAAGTGAGTTTTATGGAATTAATAATCTACATGCCACTAACACTAGTGTCTTCTAGAGACATTAGAGGGGAAAATCTATCTTGCCTTTTCTAGCTTCTAGAGGTTAATTGTAAACAAGGACATAAACCACAAGACTTAGGGGCATAATCCACATCAGCCCTATTTCAGTACCCAGTTGTAGTAATTAAAATAATAATCCAGGCCAGGCACAGTGGCTCAATCTGGTAATCTCAGCTACCTGGAGTCAGAAATCCAGTTGAAGGCCAGCCAATCGTAGTAGGGGGATTTAGCTAAACTAAATCCTATCTCAACCAATAAGCCAGGCTTTGTTTATTGAGCAGCTATGTTCTCAGGTATGCAGGAGATATAGTAGGATAATTATGATCTGATTAATGTGCAGGCAAAAAAAAGATTCCCTACCTAAGTGACTTAAAAACACAAACATCTGTGTATATAGTATCAGTTCATTAAGGATAGATAAATTTTGGGGAGGAGGGATAAAGATAGAGGTCTCTAAATAAAAGGTAAAATTGGAAAACATTTGCACTAAACTGAGAGAACAGAAAGTGGTTCTTTCCCTTCAAAACCAAGTTATAACCAGGTACCCAATGGCTCATGCTTATAATCCTAGCTACTCAGAAGGCTGAGATCTGAGGATCAAGGTTCAAAGCCAGCCCGGGGAAGGAAAGTATGGGATTTTAAGATGAAAAATCCTTTAAAAGCATAGTGCAGATAACTAGGAAATACAATAGAACTTCTCTGGTTGAAGGAAAAAAAAACTTAGGAACAGGGCTGGGAGTGTGACTTAGTGGAGAGTGCTTGCCTCGCTTGCATGAAGTCCTGGGTTCAATTCTTCAGTACCACATAACAGAAAAAGGCAAAAGTGGCACTGCGTCTCAAGTGGTAAAAATGCTAGCCTTGAGCAAAAGAAGCCTGGGACTGAGCCCAGGCCCCGAGGTCAAGCCCCAGGACTGGCAAAAAAAGAAAAGAAAAAAAAACCCATAGGAACAGGATAAGCCCCATCAAGGCAGGGTTCTGTTGACTAATCTGTCCTCTAACAAGACAAGAAAGCTTAGATGAATAACCTCAAATTTTATTCTAGGCATACATATTTCAAATTTCTTCTAAACTCTAACAAATTTTGAAAATCAAATATATAGTCTCAAAATTTCAATAACTTTGATACATTCACAACCAATCCTGTGTATGTCATATATACTGAATATTCATTGACCTATTTGTAAATGTCTTCTAATGTGCAGTATTTATAAATATAAAATCAAATTGTTGCCCTTAAAATCTTTCTCAATCTGTTCTTTTTTGGGGGGGGAGGGGTCCAGTGGTGGGGCCTGAACTCTGGGCCTGGGCGCTGTCCCTCAGCTCTTCAGCTCAAGGCTAGCGCTCTACCTCTTGAGCCACAGCGCCACTTCCGGCTTTTTTCTTTTTGCTTATGTGGTGCTGAGGAATCCAACCCAGAGCCTCAGGCATGCAGGCAAGGGCTCTACCACTGAGCCACCTTCCCAGCCCTTTCTCAATCTGTTCTATAAAACAATAATTTTAAAATATCAAAATGAAGAAAAAAGATATTCACCTTTAGTGAGATTTTAGAAAATGATAGAGTCAGTCATCTTCAGAAAGATGAAGAAAAAGGAATCTTTTATCATCCATGTTGTCTTCATCTCTCCATTTGGTAGCTAGTATTTAGCATGGGCTGTTATTCACTTCGATTGTGACATCACACTGAAACACATAGAGATAACTGACTTCTCTGACTTCTCAGTGCCAAAGCACAATGATCTCTAAAATGCCTTCATAATGTTTGAGATGGAAGGATCATCCTGAGAAAATACAAGCCCCATTACTTGTTATTTGTATCATCTGATCTCTATAAATGACTGGACCAAGTCTTCTTTTTTTTCCCTTTCTTTCCTTTTGTTGTTTTTGTGCCATTACTGGGGCTTAAACTCAAGGCTAGTGCTTTACTACTTGAGCTACAACTCTACTTCCAGATTTTTGAGTGGAGATGAGTCTCACTGACTTTCCTGTCCTGCAGGCTTCAAACCAGATCTTCAAATCTCAGACTCCTCAATATCTATGATTACAGCAGTAAGCCATCAGCACTCAGCTGTATCTTTAAGGTATTTTGTTTTGCAGCAGTCCTGGGGCTAGAATTCCAGGCCTGAGCCCTGTCTCCGAACTGCTTTTACTCAAGGCTAGTGTTCTATCACTTGAGCCACAGATCCATTTCTGGCTTTTTTAGTAGTAATTAGAGATGAGTCTCAAGGACATAAGTGCTCAGGCTGAACTGCCATCCTCAGATCTCAGCCACCTGAGTTGCTAAAATTTCAGGTGTGAGCAATTGGCACCTGTGTATGGTACACTTCTTTTTTGGGAAATTATTACTACTTCAGTTTTATTGCTCATTATTATGTTTATGTGGTTGAGGTCTTCTTGAGTAATGTATGTCTAGAAATGTATCCATTTTTTTTCTAGATTTCCAGTTTATTAGAATGTTTTCAAATTTTTCCTTAATGACCTTATGAATTTCATTAATATCTTGTCTAATTTTATTAACTTGGGTCTTGTTTCTCCTTCCTCCAGTTACATTGTCAATATTCACAATTTTTGAATGCTTGCTTTGAATTCATACATTTTTGAATGCCTGTTATATAACATATTAAAAATCATGTCAAGTCTAAGCTTTGATGAAAAACAATAAAGTATGCATAATACAAAAACTATGTTCATTCTTGCAGAAAAAATGGGAATAAGACATAAAAAGTATTAGGGATCACACAATTTTAAATAACATAGTCATGAAATCTTTACTAAGTAGATAAGATTCAAATATAAATCTAGTATTTCTGGGGAGAAAGTGATCCAAGCACAGGGTATAGCAGGGGTAAAGTAGAGGTCTCAATTATGTTTTCAAGGAATAGAACAAAAAGCCAATGTGGTGAAGCTGAAGAGTGGTCAAGCTGTACATAATTGTGTAAGTCTGTAATTCCAGCACTGGGTAAGGTGAGGCAAGAAGTCTTTGAGTTCCAGGTCAGTCCGAGCCACATAGTGAGACCCTGTCTCACAAAAAAAAAAAAAAAAGAAGCCAGGTGCTGGTGGCTCATGCCCATAATCCTAGCTATTCAGGAGGCTGAGATTTGAAGATTGAGGTTCAAAGACAGCCCGGGCAGAAAAACCTATAAGACTCTTTTTTGGGGGTCTGGTCATGGGGCCTGAACTCTGGGCCTGGGCGCTGTCCCTCAGCTCTTCAGCTCAAGGCTAGTGCTCTACCACTTGAGCCACAGCCCCACTTCCAGCTTTTTTTTTCTTTCTTTTTTTTTTTTTTTGTTTATGTGGTGCTAAGGAATCGAACCCAGGGCCTCTGGCATGCAAGGCATGCGCTCTACCACTAAGCCACCTTCCCAGCCCCGACCTATAAGACTCTTATCTCCAATAAACCACTAGAAAACTGGAAGTGGTGCTGTGGCTCAAGTGGTAGAGTTCTCATCTTGAGCTGAAGAGCCGAGGGACAGCGCCCAGGCCCAGAGTTCAAGCCCCACAGTTGACCAAAAAAAAAAAGTGCAGATTAAAAAAACTACCTCCTGAGGTCAAAGACATAACAACAAGCAAGTATGGTGCTAAGTGCCAAACTGTGCCATGTAGTTTAAAACAATCATGCACAGAAAATCCATTAGTTCAATAATTTGTTTACTAAAAGTACTTAAATTTCATTTTTAAGTAGTTGTACAAAATTTCAGCAAGTCAGATGATGAGTACAAAACATCTTAATCAATGTCACCCCAACAATTTAGAATTTGATAGCAAATAAACAAGATATTTTGTCCTCAACAAAATACATTAACAGGAGAAATATATAAGTACACAACACCTAGAAACAATAAAGGGAACATTATGAATATATACACAAAACAATGTATACAAAATAAGTCAAGGGTATAGTTGAAATAGAAAATGTTAACTATGTTATTTTTTTTAAAACATAGCAATGGAAACAAACCACACTTGCACAGTATAAATGCTATTGTATGTACTTCAAGAACATAAAAATTCAAAATCTTCTGGTTTAAAGTGCTATGTAACTACTGGATGTCCAAGTCTCTTGAGAATCTCTTAGGCAGGAAAATTAACAATTGAGAGTCATGTTGAAAAAGTAAAAATGCATCATCATGCTACATTTTTATGTTTAAATGTATTGTGGTTTTATAAAGGTAATTCTTCACTGAGCTAACACAATGGTTGTCATTCTATAAAGATCCTATTTATATATGGGACATTGAATAATATTTCCAGAAAAGACATTTTTGGGGGAACTTTCTATATACATTTCATCAACTGAAGTTCCTAGTAACCATGGCGACAGGTTTCCCATAACCATTAACATTATATATTAGAATCAAAGGTTCCTTAGTGTATGCACATACATTTCTATGCCTCCTTCAAGGTTGTAGAAAGGGAAGGCAAGTATAATTTCAGTAAAAGCATTTAATACTGATAACACAATTTCCTCTGAAATCTTTTCCTTGAGTTAGTACGCTCGTCTAAATTTTGTCCTTAAAAAACTTCTAGAACTAGATACTTTCAAAAGACCTAGATGTTTCCAGTTTTACAATTCCAATTATATGCAACTACAATCCTATATATTAAATCATAATTAGCCTTTTTAAGACTAAAGGAGAGGCTGGGAAGGTGGCTCAGTGGTAGAGTGCTTGCCTTGCATGCATGAAGCCCTGGTTTGATTCCTCAGCACCACATAAGCAGAAAATGCCAGAAGTGGTGCTGTGTCTCAAGTGGTAGAGCGCTAGCCTTGAGCAGAAGAGCTGAGGGACAGCACCCAGGCCTAGAGTTCAGGCCCCACAACTGACCAAAAAAAAAAAAAAAAAGACTAAAGGATACTCAGGGAGGTACAATGCCTTGTTGCCTCTGATAATATTTATTGAAATGAACTCCAGGGGCTGGGAAGGTGGCTCAGTGGTAGAGTGCTTGCCTTGCATGCATGAGGCCCTGGGTTTGATTCCTCAGGACCACATAAGCAAAAAGAAAAAAGCCAGAAGTGGCGCTATGGCTCAAGTGGTAGAGCGCTAGCCTTGAGCTGAAGAGCTGAGGGACAGCGCCTAGGCCCAGAGTTCAGGTCCCACGACCAGACCCAAAAAGAAAAAAGAAAAAAAGAAATGAACTCCAGGAAATGGAGACAGTTTTTCTTTTCTCTTTTTCTTTTTGCCTTGTTTCTTCATTTATCTGTCTTTGGTAAGGGGAGGGGGAAGAGGGCACAGAAATGAGGGACAAAGAATGAACAAATGCAGCAGTGGTACTCAGTTGAAAATGAACTATACAACTTGTGGGCAGGGACAGGAGGGAAAAACGGAGACAGCAATGGAAGGGGTAACATTGTCCAAAAACAAATATACTCATTATCTGGCTTAGGAACAGTAACTCCTCTGTAAATTACCTTTATAATAACAATAAAATTAGTTAAATTTTTTAAAAATGTGTGTGTGTGTGTGTGTGTGTGTGTGTGTGTGTGTGTGTGTGTGTGTGTGCAGGTTCTTCTACTTGAACTCAGGGACTCACACTTTTGCTTGGGTTTTTCTGCTCAAGGCTGGTGCTCTTCCTTTAAAAACTGGTAGGAAAATCTATTCATTGATTTTTAATTCCTTTTTGTGTTAGTACTGGGACTTGAACTCAGGGCCTATAAGCTGTCCCTTATCTTTTAGCTCAAGGCTAGTGCTTTGCCACTTGCACCACACCTCTACCTCCAACTTTTTGTTGATTATTTAGAGATAAGACTCTCATGGACTTTCCTGCCGAGGATGACTTTGAACCACAGTCCAGATTTCAAGACTCCTAAGGAGCTAGGATTACAGAGGTGAGTCAGTGGTGCCTGGATGGAAAATCTATTTTTAAAATAAAAAGATTAAAACAAAAACTGCATGAAATATTTTTACCTTACTCAAAACAGACTCATATGTGATGTATATGCTTTTCACTTATAATATATAATTAAATATCTTAATGAAAATGTTGTTTCCTAAAAATAATGAGGGCAGGCATAGTGGTGCACACTTGTGAACTCAGCTACTCAGAAGTAAGAGGTAGGAGATAGTGGTTCAAAAGCAGCCTGGGCAAAGGAAGAGATTCTATGTGAAAGAGAAAAAAAAAAAGACTGGAAGTATGGCTCAAGAGGTAGAGTAAGACACTGAATTCATTCAGTCCCTGGTAGCATACACACACACAAACACACACACACACACACACACAAACACACACACACACAAACACACAAAATAAATGATTAGGTAAGCCTAATCTCCATGGGAAGTACAATAAACACACTGTATCTGTATCCTTGTCTTGCACAGGGCCCTCAATTTAAAAAACTGAATTCCATCTAGTGACTTACTCCTATCATTATGTCTAAATGGTATTTCCTTATGAAACATTTTCCCACAGGCCTATGGAAACCAAAAAAATAAAAAAATGAAATCCAACAATAGAATGCTAAGCACCCAAGGAACAAAAGCCCAAAACATAAAGAAATATGACAAATAATAAGTTCACAGTAACATGAGAGAGCTTCTATATAAACATTGCAAAATAAAAAATAAATGAAACAGTTTTAAAAATCAAAATGAAATGTACATATGTTTTTATAAGAAGATTTAAAACTTTTCTAAACACTGTAACCACTACATATTAAATAAACCTTAAGATTCCAATACACTCCTGGGAGTTGGAAGGTATTCATATTTTTTAATTAATTTTTTATTGTAAAAATGTTGTACAGAGGGGTTACAGTTACATGAGTAGGGTAATGAGTGTATTTCATTGAGTTGGGAAATGAGTACATTTTCCCCCTACCATCACTTCCCTCCCCACATCCCCAATTCTTCCCGCCCCCCCACACCAATATTGTATAGTTCATTTTCAATATAGTGTCCTGTAAGAAGGTATTCACATTTTAACTTTAAAATTCTTTACCAAAAAATTTACTTCTTTCAGAAATAGAAGTCAAGTAGCCCTTTAAGGTTTTTGCTTTATTTAGTTGGATGCTGTGATAGAAAATGATAAAAGTTCTCATTAACTGATTTATTCTTTCTGTAATATAGCCTTGAAATGTAAGCCTTTTTCTTCTATAAACATCAAAGAAACACACAAATATTATAGTAACAAAGAGAAAGCAGTATAATTTTTCAAATGTATTCAGACATTAATTCAGAACAAATTGACCCTCATTTCCACTTGTTAAAAGCAAGTTACTTGTTTACTCTCCCCAAAAGAGGAAAGATGGCTGCCAATACCAATTCAGAAATTGCATTCGTCCATCATCTGTTAAAATGAAACTCATGAGCTATTGCTCTTTCCCAATTCTGGTGTGTCAGCACACAAACTGCTTGACTTGCCCTCTTGATAGGTCCGAAGCTGCTCCATGAAGCCAGAATTTGGACAGATGGAAGGCCTTGCATTTTTCACCAAAGAAAATGCACCAGGAAAGGAGATTTCTTCAGAATGCATCAGAAAGCCTATTACAATTGTGGCAGCCCTGGAAACTCCTGCATTACAATGAACAAGAACCACACCATCCTGAAATAAAAGCAAAGTTATGAAATATTAATGTAAGATTATTAAATCAATCCATGAAGCCAGAATTTGGACAGATGGAAGGCCTTGCATTTTTCACCAAAGAAAATGCACCAGGAAAGGAGATTTCTTCAGAATGCATCAGAAAGCCTATTACAATTGTGGCAGCCCTGGAAACTCCTGCATTACAATGAACAAGAACCACACCATCCTGAAATAAAAGCAAAGTTATGAAATATTAATGTAAGATTATTAAATCAATTATGCATAATCTTATCCTACTTACAATTATGAAGCATATGTTGTATTTTGTCTAGACTTACTTTATTTTCAAAATATAACTAATTGCAACTAATGAATTTAAAAAATTAATTAATAGAACCAACACTGCTTCCTCTCAGGATTGAAAGGCTATGATGATGTATTTGGAATTGTAAAACAGTATAATTAATAAAACAAAAGTAATGGGGCTGGGAAGGTGGTAGAGTGCTTGCCTTGCATGCGTGAGGCCCTGGGTTTGATTCCTCAGTACCATATAAACAGAAAAAGCTGAATGTGGCACTGTGGCTCAAGTGGTAGAGTGATAGCCTTGAGCTGAAGAGCTGAGGGACAGCGCCCAGGCCTGGAGTTCAAGACCCACAACCGAAACAACTAAAAAAGTAATCTAGTAAAGTATACATAAAAGTATAAAAACTGTAGTTGCTATTAAGCATATCAACAGCCCATGTATATGAGTAAGAGAAAAACCACCTGGAATATACAAATGGAAACATAAGACATAATCACAAACTAAACAGAAAGCCAGAAACAGTACAAAGTATATATTCTCATGAGGAAATTAATGCCACTGGCTTGGACATCTATGTATAAAAATCAGCAAAGCCGGGCACTGGTGGCTCACACCTGTAATCCTAGCTACTCAGGAGGCTGAGAACTGAGGATCGTGGTTCAAAGCCAGCCCAGGCAGGAAAGTCCATGAGACTTTTTTTTGGGGGGGGTGGGGATCCGGTCGTGGGGCCTGAACTCTGGGCTGGGGCACTGTCCCTCAGCTCTTCAGCTCAAGGCTAGCACTCTACCACTTGAGCCACAGTGCCACTTCTGGCTTTTTTCTTTTTGCTTATGTGGTGCTGAAGAATCGAACCCAGGGCCTCATGCATGCAAGGCAAGCACTTTACCACTAAGCCACCTTCCCAGCCCAAATCCGTGAGACTCTTATCTCCAATATGCCACCAGAAAACTGGAAGTGGCGCTGTGACTCAAGCAGTAGAGCACTCGCATTGAGCTGGAGAGCTCAATGACCAATCCCCCTACTCCCCCCCCCCAAAAAAAAAATCAGCAAAGAGCTGGGTATTGGTGAGCTGGGTATTGATGACTAACACCTGCAATTTGGCCCACTCAGAAACCTGAGATCTGAGGATTGAAGTTCAACACCATTCCAGGCAGTAAAGTATGTGAGACTTCTTTCTGATTAACCAGGAAAGAAAGAAGAAAAGAAAGAAAGAAAGAAAGAAAGAAAAAAAGGAGGGAGGGACGGAGGGAGGAAGAAAGGAAGGAAGGAAAACAGCAGAACTATGGCTCAAGTGGTAGTGCTGACCTTGAGAAAAAAAAGAAAAGGGAAAAAGGGACAGCACTTAGGCCCCAAGTTTAAGCCCTATTACTGGCATACCCACACCAACACACCCACACACATATATACACAACTCAGCAAGGAATGTTTTCCCCACATTGGATTACTTTATTCTGGATGCTAGCATCTTAAAAACATTTGTTTATGACTCAGTAAAATGGTTAGATCATGAACAGCTCATGACAACATGAAGTAGAAAAGGTAATCAGACACCAGCACAAGGTGAATAAATGAGAAACGTTTCAGGTAACTTGAAAATAATACTTTCCACTTGAAAAGGGACACAGTGCAGGCCAATGCTGACGGGGCAATATTGCATGAATAATGAGTGTGACAGATCTGATGGGATGGCACTGATACAGCTTGGCCCGCCTCAGGCTGGTGAAAAGTTAATGATCTAAATGAAATGTGGTGAACTGGGAGCACCTCCACAGAACGAGACATTTCTCTCACTCCATTTAGCAAACAACAAAGGAAAAGAATGGGGGGGGGGAGGAGGAAAAGGAAGAGGAGGAGGAGGAGGAGGAAAAGAAAAGACCACACAATATCATTGAAATGATTCATTGGCTTATTTTCTGTTTGCAAGGCACTTTTCTCACATTTATGTATCTGTTCATACAATTCTTTTCTTTGATCCCTTGTAACAAACTGGCAAGTGTATCTCTTTTCAAAGATGACTAACAACAAAGTTAGTTAATAATTTGAAAATTATATCAAAAAAGAAAATCTTAACTATTTCAAATAGATATTTATGATTCACCTTCAAACTTTTTCTGCACAAGGAAAACAAAGAAGCAGTTTCTATATCCATCCGGAACTTCCCTCACTTTGTAACAACAGCTCATTTTAAAAACATGAGGTTTAAGAACTTTATTATATCCAGGAAATTGAAACAGTAGGGATTTTTCTTTGTTGCTGTTTTTATTTTCTTTTATTTTATGTGTTCATTTTTCTGTCTTTGGGAGAGTGGGGGGGGGGGGGGAACAAAGGGTGAACAAATGCAGCAGTGGAACTAACTAGACACTATATTGAAAATGAACTATACGACTTGTGTGTGGAGACAGAAGGAAAAAATTGGAAGAGAGTGATGAAAGGGATGACATTGTCCAAAAAGAAATATACTCATGGGGCTGGGAAGGTGGCTCAGTGGTAGAGCGCTTGCCTTGCATGCCTGAGGCCCTGGGTTCAATTCCTCAGCACCACATAAGCAAAAAGAAAAAAGCCACAAGTGGCACTGTGGCTCAAGTGGTAGAGCGCTAGCCTTGAGCTGAAGAGCTGAGGGAACCCAGAGTTCAGGCCCCACGACCAGACCCCCCAAAAAAAGAAAGAAAGAAATATACTCATTACCTGGCTTATGTAACTGTAACTCCTCTGTATCTCACCTTCAGAATAACCATTTATTTATTTATGTCAGACATTGGGCTTAAATTCTGGGCCTGTGCATTATCCCTGAGCTCTTCAGCTCAAGGCGAGCACTCTACCAGTTGAGCCACAACACCACTTACAGTTTTCTGGTAGTTAATTGGAGAAAAGAGTCTCACAGACTTTCCTGCCCAGGCTGGCTTTGAACCATGATCCTCAGATCTCAGCCTCCTGAGTAGCTAGGATTACAGGTGTGAGCCACTAGCACCTGGCCCATAATAACAATTTTTTTGGGTTTTTTTGTTGTTGTTGTTGATCATGGGGCTTGAACTCTGGGCTCGGGCACTGTCCCTCAGCTCTTCAGCTAAAGGCGAGTGCTCTACCACTTGAGCCACAGTGCCACTTCCAGTTTTCTGATGGTTTATTGGAGATAAGAGTCTCAGGGAGTTTTCTGCCCAGGCTGGCTTTGAACCATGATCCTCAGATCTCAGCCTCCTGAGTAGCCAGGATTACAGGTGTGAGCCACCAACATCTACCCATAATAACAATTTTTTAAAGGGAAAAAATTTTATTATAGAAACTTGGAAATTATAAATGTACTTCAATTAGCTCAAAACAAGTTAATCATATATTCCAGAGAAACTTGTAATATTATTTTCTTTTCCTTTGCTACTTGCTTTGTATAACAACTGGTTTCTACATTTGTGTGTGTGTGTGTGTGTGTGTGTGTGTGTGTGAGAGAGAGAGAGAGAGAGAGAGAGATTGCAGGTATTCATCATTATACCTGGCTTCTATGACTTTTGACTTACCTACTTTTTATGTTATTATTCCTAGGTATCATGTGAGCCTGGAAAATATTTCCAGAAAATAATTGTCATTATATTCCCTTTCTCAAACTCAAAATTGTGATTTAAAAAACGTTTATAAAGCAACTTTTTCCTTTGTGCTTGCTGGTGTCTTCTGCCTGGAAGACCTTTGAGTTTACTGGTACCAGGAAATGCCGCTGTGGCTCAAGCGGTAGAGTACTTGCCTTGAGCTGAAGAGCCCAGGGACAGCGCCCAAGCCCAGAGTTCAAGCCCCACGACCGACCGATCAAAAAAAAAAAAAAAAAAAAAAAAAACTGGTACCACTAACTTTGGCTTTGGTACTAAGACTCTTTCCAAATGAGATGAGGGCAGAAAGTGTATCTTATCTATCTTTGAGTCAAATTCTTGGCACGTATTAAGTATTCCACAAATATTTGATGAGAGAATAAATTAATCTGTTGCTCATTTCTGTGATGAAATATGATGCCTCAAAACTTCAAATCACCATTTCCATTTCACTGAAGACATATAGTGATGTATATGTATATGCAGGCATATAGTAACACATATGAACACATAGACATATAGTAATGTAGATGTAGATGTAGTCACGTACAGAATGCTATGAGACTCCTACTATAGTTTGCTGTCTTAACTACTGTCACTGCCTAGGGATGGTGATCTTTTGAATTAAACATCAGTTCATAATCCTTGATACTCTTTAAGAAATCCAAGCTAAGAACTACTCTAGTGCTCCAAACTAAGGAAAATTTTGTATTTATAATATTTTTAAATTCCAAAACTTATTAATTATTCAATTTCCCACTCTTCTTTTTGAGATACAATTTTACTTGCAGCATGTATATCCCTTCTCATTTTAGTATGAATATAGATGATATTTACCACCTAAGGCAAGAAAGGAAGTTGAAGTGAACCCATGAAATCAGAATTCAAACTGGATTCAAACCTGTCTTTGCTAGGTGTTCCAGGGGAATTATTTCTCTTTATTACTGATTTTACATCCCTCATCCACCTATTTTATGTACATTTTGTAAGATTTACTAAGTAAATATGATGCCATTTCAAAACCTAATTATTGATAACAGCCTGCTTAAAAGCCTCATCAGTGTTGACATAGCTTCAACACCATGCCTGAAATATTTTGTTTGTCTTCTTAAAACACAAAATCCAATGAACAGCTTCTGGTTAACATTTTCATACAATCAAAATAAAGCAATGGATGTTTAGTCCCCAGAGAGACTTCCAAATTTAAAAATTATTTTCAAATTCCTTAATAAATAATCCCTATCATCATAAAAGTATTGACAAGACAAAAAGCAGTCTCTACCCTCTGGTCCATAGTTATGTTACAAATTATTCAGAGGGAAAATGATTACATGCCCTCAAAGGAAATCTAAATACATATTTATATAGGGAAATTCAACAAGTTGGAAATTTTATCTCCTAATCTATTTCAGTAAGGCATAAGAATAGAAGCTGAATTAATGTAAAAGAGTAAATTTCTCAGGAAGTAAAGAGCAATTATAGAACTGAAAGAACTGATGGAGTTAATGAACACTTTTGAAGGAAAATTTTCATAATGGTTCTTCTTAAATTCATCACGAAGAATAAAAATTGCTAGCTGACCAATCCTTTCAAAAGAAAATCCTTTGAAGAACTGTGGATCAAAATGAAGCTTACCTTCATTTTTGCTTGTTCAATAAATTCAAAGCATTCTGGAAAATAAGACAGGATATTGGTCTCAGGCAAATCCAATATAGAAATGTTCTTGTATGTAAACTCACTGAGGAAAGCATTTTCAATTCCATATGCAACATTGAGAATATGAGTCACCTTAAAGAGAAGGAAAAAAAAGATGATTTTTTCAAAGTCCCTTAAGTTAGGTTATATAAAAAGAAGCTGTGATATTGGCATCTGTAAAAAGAAGAAGAAATTTCCAACATGACTCCCTTGATTGAAATTTCCTCCTGGAAGCTTTCTCAGGCTACAATGTCGCCTACCAACAGTCTTCCCTCTGTACATTCATAGCCCCTATGCTTGCTCCCCTAACTTACATAGTCTCCTCCCACTTACATTGTCTCCCTCACTAGGTACTCCAGGAAGTTACTATTATAAGCACTGCAAGCCTAGCAGAAAGCACTTTACATACATGTTACATAAATCAGGGAATATCCATATAAAAACTTATGCATTATATCCATATAAAAACTTGTATCTAGCCGGGCGCTGGTGGCTCACACCTGTAATCCTAGCTACTCAGGAGGCTGAGATCTAAGGATCGAGGTTCAAAGCCAACCCGGGCAAGAGAGACCGTGAGACTCCTATCTCCAATAAACCATCAGAAAACCAGAAGTGGTGCTGTAGCTCAAGTGGTAGAGTGCTCGCCTTGAGCTGAAGAGCTGAGGGACAGCGTCCAGGCCCAGAGTTCAAGCCCCACGACCGACAAAAAAAAAAAAAAACTTGTATCTGTGGTATACGACTCTGCTTTCAATGATTATTCTGCTATTTTCCTTCATATTCTTTACTAGTAAAATGGTTCTTGAGTGTGGCTGAACAAAGAATCATCTGATGAGCTTTTAGAAACTATTAATGCCACAGAGCCACAGCTCCAAAGATTCTGATAAATTTATCTGGCTGAACAGGGAGGTTGGCAGAGGGTAAGAAGATTTTACTTCATCTCTGTTTTGAGCTCCTTTCCTATCTTGTAAAGGTGACTTACGGGAAGTCTATTAAGCAACCTGGCAGGGTGACAGATAGATACCTATAGCCCCAGGTACTTGGGAAGTTGAGACAGTTATGACAATTGAATCCAGGCATACTAGACTGTGTACTACACAGCAAGACTCTGTCTCAAAAGCAAACAAACAAAATCATTAAGAAGAATCAGTGCTATGTACATAGCTTAGTGGTCAGTGATTACCTAGCATTAATGAGGCCCTGAAAGTTCAAGAGGGAGAGAGAGGGAAAAAAAGAAGAATGGAGGGGAAAGGAAGGAAGAGAAAAGGAAGGAAGGGAAGGGGAGAAGGGAGGGAAAGGGATAGAAAGGAGAGAAGAGGGTGCCAAAAGCTAAATGGTTCAGAAAATCATAAATATAGGTATAAAAGTATTACTCAATGTATTTATTCTATTTGTTTCTTAGCATAAGTCTGAGGTATAACCTAGTCTCCAGTTTTCATATACTTCTCATTATTTTCATGTATTTCATATATTTCAATATGTATCTAGCCCTGCCTCTCTTCCCTTCACTACCCTCACACTTACGCTCTGAAAATATCTACTTCTCACCCTTGCTACATAGCTGACTAGACTTGGGAGATTTAAGAGAAGAGCCAAGCTGGGCACCGGTGGCTCACGCCTGTAATCCTAGCTACTCAGGAAAGTCCGTGAAACTCTTATCTCCAATAAACACTCAGAAAACCGGAAGTGGTGCTGTAGCTCAAGTGGTAGAGCACTTGCTTTGAGCTGAAGAGCTGAGGGACAGTGCTCAGGCTGAGTTCAAGCCCCATAACCAACAAAAAAAGAGAGAGAGAGAGAGAAATTAGAGTCAAAGTTAAGATGATTATCTTTAGAAATTTTAAAATAAGGGCTGGGAAGGTGGCTCAGTGGTAGAGTGCTTGCCTTGCATGCATGAAGCCCTGGGTTCGATTCTTCAGCACCACATAAGTAGAAAAAGCTGGAGGTGGCACTGTGGCTCAAGTGGTAGAGCACCAGCCTTGAGCTGAAGAGCTGAGGAACAGTGCCTAGGCCCAGAGTTCAGGCCCCACGACTGACAAAAAAAAAAAAAAAAAGAAATTTTAAAATAAGGTTAAAAGATAGCTATTGTGATCCAAAACTTGGACTCTGAAACAGTCCTTTTCTATTAAGTGCTCAGGGAAAGTGAAGAATTCCTGCTACACAAAGAGATGAATGGAGTCGATGAATAGTGAGGGACATGGGAGAGAAGGGCTCTCCTGGATGGCCTTCCTATTCCCTAGTCCCAGGCCCTGGCATGACTACCCTGCCCTTTGGTCCAGAAATCTCCCCCTGTATTCCACAGTATGGGTTTACTATTGTCTCTTAAGTGTGTTCTTTATGGAAGGGCAGGTGAGTATTTTCAATAATTTGCTATTTTGTATAATATTGAACTTTTAAAGTGGAACATTTTATGTTACATTTAGTATTCTATTTTCCAAAGTGCTTTATTAGGTGGACACCATGTGCTCATGGAGCACCTCATTCTAATCCAACTATTATTACCATTTATAAACATTAAAATTAAATTCCTGAAATAGACCACCACAAGAGAAGTCCTACTAGTTACAATACTTAATCAAAATTCTAAAGCATTGCTTTAAAATGTGCCCCAGCATTTCTGCAGAATCCTTAAATTATTCTAGAAACCTCTGCTCAGCAACTCAGTTTAGTTTTGTTTCCTCAAGTTTTGAATAACAAGGTTGTTTGATTACAAGAGCTTACAGCATATTCTCATTTCACATCACTAGGTAAAACAGAGTTTGAACTACTGGGTCATTAAAAAGGTCATTTTTTGTTTTTTATTTTTTTAGGTTGTGGAACTTGACTCTGGGCACTGTCCCTGAGCTTTTTTGCTTAAGGCTAGAACTCTACCACTTTAATCCACATCTCCACTTCCTGTTTCCTGGTGGTTAATTGGAGATAGGAGTCTCGGGTTTTCCTGCCTGGACTAGCTTGGAACCAAATCTCTAGCTCTCAGTCTCCTAAGAACCTAGGATTACAGAAGTAAGTCACCAATGCCTTGCAGGGTGAGATAATTAAAAAACCAAAACAAAAATAAACCTCTTGATAATACAAAAATTCTATTTGTTATTTTACCCTATGGAATACTAATTTGTTAGTAGAAGCAAGACTTTGAAATTTATTTTACCTTTCTTAAAATATTGGTATTTGAGAACCCTCTTAAGAAATCCACTGTAAGCAGGTTGTTAATGGCTTATGCCCATTATCCTAGCTGTTCAGGAGGCTGAGGTCTGAAGATGGAGGTTCAAAGCCAGCCTTGTCAAGTAGGCCCATGAGACTCTTGTCTCCAACTAACTACCAAAAAACCAGAAGTAGAAGAGAGGCTCAAGTGGTTGTCAGCCTTGAACTAAAATAACAAGGAAGAGCTTGAGGCCCAGAATTCAAATCACAGTATCAATAGAAAAAATGCAATCAGTGACCCTCCTATTCTTTATTTAATTTAGGCCATTATTTCTCATTGCCAGATGGTAATTGTTGGTAGCAAAATCAGTTTAAACACAAATCAGTAAACTGACAAGTAAAAATATCAGACTAGTACAAATTAAGTACACATATATGTATATATATTACATATATCAGGCTAGTAAATTCATTGGTTATAGGCTATTTATTTTCCTTAGAAAAATAATTGTCTTTATTATATAAAATTTTACCTTCAATACAAACTAAAGTTCTTTTTTCTTTCAGTCCAAAGTCCACTTCCCCTACACCTGTCTAGCAAAATTTCATTGTATTCCCAGACTACAAAGCATTGCTGGAGAAAAGCAATACAATTCTGCATTTCATGCTTACCAAAAATTATTAGAGAAATCCCTCTGGACTTGCATCAGGGTTTAGCAACTCTATCTTCCTAGCGGGCTCTGTCCTTCATTCTGTGCCAGTTCCTTCTAACTTTCCCAGTCTTCTAAAATCTTTCAACTCTACCATCTCTTCATAATTGACTTCTTTATAGTAAAAAGAGAAGCCATCACATAAGAATCTGTACCTCTCTCCATCAAATCTACACTTACCTACACCTACACTCCTTCTTTTTGTCTTCTTATTACAAGAAATCATCTGCTCCTGCAGCCTTTTAAAGGCTCATTCTAGTACTTATGCCTGCATAACACTGAGTCCTACTTTCTTGGCATCTCGCTCTATTTATAATTCTTGCTTTTTTTTTTTTTTGGTCGGTCATGGGACTTGAACTGGGGTGCTGGGCACTGTCCCCAAGCTCTTCAGCTCAAGGTGAGTGCTTTACCACTAGTGCTACAGCAGCACTTCCGGGTTTCTGGTGGTTAATTAAAGAGTCTCATGAACTTTCCTGCCCAGGCTGGCTTTGAACAGAGATCCTCAGATCTCAGCCTCCTGAGTAACTAGGATTATAGGAGTGAACCACCAGCTCCCAGCTTAATTCTTGCTTTTTTATGTTCCATTCTTTCCTGTACATGAGCCTTAAAATATGCTCAAAATGCTCCCATATTCCACAATTACAGCTGCTCTCGGGTTTTTTTTTTCCTTCACAAGCAAGACTCTTTTATTTGACATGATGAAAGATCTAAATTTTAAATAGTTCCTTGGATTGGTGATTCATGTCTAATCAGCTCATTCTTTTTCAGCCTAAATCATAGTCTGCCATATATTTTTTGATCATGGTACACATGGTCATGTTATGGTCTATTCCATGAACATTAGTCAGTCAGGTTTTTTTCCTGGCCGTGCTCAGGAATTAGCTTGAATTTCTACATAAAATTCTATTCTGCACCTTAGTCAACCCCTGAAGCATCAGATTCAATTCTGGTTTCTTGATTCCTTTTATTGAACATGCTGTTGTTTTCATATCATACTAACCTTTCTTAGACAACAGATCATCTACTTTCCTCATAGCTCCCTTTTTGTCAACTTTGGTAAAATATTCTTGCCAATCATCATGGTGCTATTCAGACAGCCAAAAGGTTACCTCTCTAGTTCTTAATTTTTTGAAACCTTAATCTAACATAACTTAATTCTATTTATACTTAAACTTTCCAGCATGTGACACTGACAACTCTTTTCCTTAAAATTTTCTCTTTTGGCATCCATGATCTGTTTTGACATTTCTATTACCTTTCATAACTTCTTTTACCCTTTAGATTCTTCTTCCTTGATCATACCTTACAGATCAGTATCACACCACTTAGCAGTTCTAACAGTCTTCCACAAAGGCCTTCTCTATTTGCATTAAACAGTTCTGAAAGTGATTTCACTGGCCAAATGATTTCAATTGCTGTTTATAATTTACTACTACAAATATCTTCTTCCTGCACTGTCTCTACTCTATATGCAAGTACAGTCCATTAAACTCTACTTTGATGGTCTACAGCATCTGAAATTAAAAATGAGCAACACCAGCCAAGTGGTGGCCTACATCTATTATTCTAGCGCACAGGAGGCTAAGGCAGGAGAAATCTGAATTTGAAGCTAAACTTTATGAGCACAAGAATCTCTTATGCGCCGGGCGCTGGAGGCTCACGCTTGTAATCCTAGCTACTCAGGAGGCTGAGATCTAAGGATCGAGGTTCAAAGCCAGCCCGGGCTGGAGAGACCGTGAGACTCCTATCTCCAATAAACCACCAGAAAACCGGAAGTGGCGCTGTAGCTCAAGTGGTAGAGCACTCGCCTTGAGCTAAAGAGCTGAGGGACAGCGCCCAGGCCCAGAGTTCAAGCCCCACGACCGACCAAAAAAAAAAAAAAAAGAATCTCTTATGCTATTCAAGCCATAGCAATTCCATAACCTGACATATTTCTTGACACAATGATAGCAAAAAATTCTTTTTGTGTAAATACTGAAAATAAGGAATAAGTCATATCAGCTGTGTGCAGAAGGATGGGAGGAAATAGTATCAGAAAAGAAATGGTATATGAATTGGTACTCAAGGCATGATACATCTTTAGCAAGCAGAGATGAGAGAAAGTCTCTCTTACATAGAAGAATTACTTAAGTGAAGTAAAAAAAAATGCACTTCCAAGTAAATTTATGAGATTACACAAATAGATTGGGAAGAATGTAGATCCACATATGTTTATTAGATATAATTACTTTTTAATAGTCAAAAGAGTAACAGACAAAGTTGTTAAAAGATGGACCATGGCTTTTTTTTTATTTTCCTCTCTTTGTGTGTGTGTGTGTGTGTGTCGGTTGTGAGGCTTGAACTCAAGGCCTGGGTACTGTCTCTGAGCCTTTTTGTGCTTGCTTAAGGCTAGTGTTCTACCAGTTGAGCCACAGCATCACTTCCAGTTTTTGAGTGGTTAATTGGAGAAAAGAGTCTCAAGGGGACTTTTCTGCCCAGGCTGGCTTCAAACCTCGATTCTCAGATCTCAGCCTCTGAGAAACTAGGATTACAGGTGTGAGCCACCGGTGCCCGGCTCACTTTTTTAAATAAATTAATTATATATACAAAGGAACTTCCCTAAATATAAAAATTAAAATATTCCTTAAAGGTAGGGCCAGACTTAAAGCATTTTTACCTTGTACTTTCTCAGTATATCCAGATCATGAGCAGCATCTTGTGACCCTAAAAGAAATAAATCATATCAATAAATCAAATCAATAAATCTCATTACCTCACTTTTTATTTAATGTATTCAACAATTCTGTTGAATATGTGTGTGTATGTGTATCCAACAACTTGTGAAGATTTCATTGTAATGATTGGCAGTATTCTTCATAAAGTATTAGTAATATTCTTCAGATTTAGATTTTCCACATCTAAGAATGTATCTTAAGCCAGGCGCTGGTGGCTCACGCCTGTAATCCTAGCTACTCAGAAGGCTGAGATCTGAGGATCGCGGTTCAAAGCCAGCCCGGGCAGGAGAGACCGTGAGACTCCTATCTCCAATAAACCACCAGAAAACCGGAACTGGCACTGTAGCTCAAGTTGGTAGAGCGCTTGCCTTGAGCTGAAGAGGTGAGGGACAGCACCCAGGCCCAGAGTTCAAGCCCCACGACCGACCAAAAAAAAAAAAAAAGAATGTATCTTAAAACTTACAGATGTTGTAATAATTACCTATAGGGATTTCATCATACTATTGTTTGAATCACAACAAACAGAAATAAAACAAAACAAAAAGGAATTAAAAACCCTAATATAGCTGGGTGGCAGTGGGTCATACCTTTAATTCTAGCTACTCAGGAGACTGAGATCTGAGGACTGTGATTTGAAGGCAGCCAAGGCAGGAAAGTCTATGAGACTCTTTTCTGAATTAAACAACCAAATAAGCCAGAAGTGGAGCTGTTGCTCAAGTGGTAGAGTACTAGCCTTGAGCAAAAGATGCTCAGGGACAGCACCCAGGCTCTGAGTTCAATTCCCAGCATTGGTACACACACACACACACACACACACACACACACACACACACACACACACACACACACACACACACACACACACACACACACACACACACACACACACACACACACACACACACACACACACACACACACACACACACACACACACACACACATCCTACTGTAGAAGCTGAGTTAAATAAAAAGCAGTACATATTGGTATGTGTACCTGGAGGATCTAGACAGTCATGTCCAACTGAACTGCTTAATCCTTTGCTTTTTGCTTATATATTTTTTCTGTAATTCACATGTTAAATAAAGGTTATTTTTTAAAGCAGTAAAATTACATACTGAAATATATATAGCCTTCAGAACCATTAAAAATAAGAAAAATATTTATGGTATAGATATTTGTTCTTAATATTTTAAGTCATAAGTCAGTTATAAAATATTATATATTTTTATAAAAGCCCAAAATATGTATATCCTCAAGAATGGCCAGGAAGAATACAGAACACAAGATGTAGAGTCTCAGGTAATTTTTTTCTTCTTAAATTTACTTTTTTCTGGTTGCTGCTGTTGTTTCTATGTCTGTCTATAGCCTTGAACTTAGGGCTGGGGCACTATTTGTTTGTTTGCTCAAGTCTAATGCTCTGCCCCTGGAGCCACAACTCCACTACTGGGCTTTTTTCCCCCTCACGATTAATTAGATAAAAGTATCACAGGAATGTGATTTAGTGGTAAAATGCTTGCCTAGCATTCATGAAGCCCTGGGTTTGATTTCTCAGTACCACATATACAGAAAAAGCCACAAGTGGGCTGTGGCTCAAGTAGTAGAGTACTAGCTTTGTGCAAAAGAAGCTCAGGGACAGTGCCCAGGCCCTGAGTTCACAAGACCCAGGATTGGCGGGAAAAAAAAAGGATCACAGACATTCCTGCCTGGATAGCTTTGAACTGGGATGGCTTTGAACTGGATAGCTTTGAACTCTCAACCTCTGAGTAGGTAGGATTATGGCATGAACCATGGGTGCCTGGCTCTCATTTGTATTTTTAATAATGGACACTTCTTTATTTTATAACTGAAAAGAGAGTAATGAGAAAGTCAGACACCCACAATCTGACAGCACCAACTGGTTTGGGAACACTCAGTAGCTTTGAGATCTGCAGGATGATTCCACCCACGCTGCATGTACCATTTTTACAGTGTTTTTCTGTAGAAGTTGCCTTTCCAGATCTCCTACACTTGAAAACTAACTCTAGTTAATAAGCATATTCTCACCTCAGAGAATAGCTTAAATAACACAAGGTTCACAACTCAAAAAATAGGACAATATATTTCAAGATTTTAAACATTCTACTTTCCTGATTTAGGTGACAGTCTCATAATGTTTTTCTCACCTAATGTTTTTCTCATTTTCTTATCTAAGAAAATGAGCCAGCTTTATTTACTTATTACTTTCTACCCAGGCTAGAGTCAAATTATAGTCCTCAGGTCTCAGCCTTCTCAATAGCTAAGATTACAGGTGTAAGCCACATCACCCATTAGTTTTCAGTTTTGGGTTTTTTGTTTGTTTTTTGTTTTGTTTTGCCAGTCCCGGGGCTTGAATTCAGTGCCTGGGCACTTTCCTTGAGCTTCTTTTGCTCAAGGCTAGCACTCTACCACTGAGCCACAGCATCATTTCTGGCTTTTTCTGTGTATGTGATACTGAAGAATCAAACCCATGGCTTCATGAATGCTAGGTAAGCACTCTTCTACTAAGCTACATTCCCAGCCCCCAGCCATTAGTTTTTATTTCATGATTTTGTAGCTAAAGGCCAGGAAGGGCAGTTTAGCCAATATTATCTTAATAACACCATGTTTGCAGGTTGCTAACTAAGCCTAAATTCAGCTTGACTTAAAAGTGGGCCTATTAAAATACTCCATTTTTAAAAGTTGGATCATGCATACATAATTGTTTGTGATACTGTTTTCTGTGATTTTTGTAAATTTTAAATGATAAATACATTCTTCAATCTCAATTTTCTACTATAGGAAATTGTAACCATCTCCAGGGGAAAATAGGTTCAAATAAATTAAATTCAGTAGTTTAACATGCACATCATCTCTTAAGTGATTGATCTCTTCCCTTTCCTTAAGCAGCAAAAACCAAAGTCATGGCTTAAATGAATAATTTTTTTTTTTGGGGGGGGGGGGGTCCGGTCATGGGGCCTGAACTCTGGGCCTGGGCGCTGTCCCTCAGCTCTTCAGCTCAAGGCTAGCGCTCTACCACTTGAGCCACAGCGCCACTTCCGGCTTTTTTCTTTTTGCTTATGTGGTGCTGAGGAATCGAACCCAGGGCCTCAGGCATGCAAGGCAAGCGCTCTACCACTGAGCCACCTTCCCAGCCCCCCATTTTTCTTTTTTTAACCCAACACTTTCATTATGATAAACATTTATCAACAGCAGATGCTTTGATAATTTTTACTAAACACACACACAGACACAAATCCCAAACAGAAAAGGTGATACATTAGAGCTGGCGACCACATTTTCAAAGTGACTTTCAAAATATGATTATGTAGACACAAATTAATATTCTTGAGTCAAGAAAAATATAACATGTATTTTCTGCTTTTCTGAACAATGTGAAATTAAATAACTATTAACAGTATAGGGAAATAAGTGAAAGGTGAATAAAAACAGACCTCAGAAAATCAGCTTGTTAACATATAATACTTAGAAATATTCAGTTCAAGTCAATTCTAAGCTCCAGATACACACATAAACTCATTTGCAATTGTATATGGACGCTGTATGTTGCAGCTATGTGTTAAGATTTTTTTTGGGGAGGGGGGGGGAGTCGGTCGTGGGGCTTGAACTCTGGGTTTGAGCGCTGTCCCTGCATTCTTCAGCTCAAGACAAGTACTCTACCACTTGAGCCACAGCACCATTTCCGGTTTTCTAGTAGTTTATTGGAAATAAAGAGTCTCACAGACTTTCCTGCCCGGGGCTGGTTTTGAACCTCGATCCTCATATCTCAGCCTCCTGAGTAGCTAGGATTACAGGCGTGAGTCACCAGCGCCCAGTCAAGATGTTAAGATTTTAAAGGGGAAGCAAGGAGCTGGTGGCTCACGTCTTTAATTCTAGCTACTTAGGAGGCTGAGGCCTAAGGATCTTGGTTCTAAGTCAGCCCAGGCAGAAAGTTCATGAGACTCTTATCTCCAATTAACCACCAAAAAGCAGGATATGAAGCTGTGGTTCAAGTGAAAGAGCACTAGCCTTGAGCGAAAAAAGCTAAGGAACAGGGCCCAGGTCCTGAGCCCAAGCCCCAGTACACACACACACACACACACACACACACACACACACACACACACACGCAAGCACACCCGCGATAAGACGATCAGACACACAACTACAAAATAGAAGCCTAAAACGCCACCAGAAAGGAAAAGAAAAATCTCCTTAAAACTCCAGAAACTCTCACCCAGAGACGTGACCATAGGAGGCATGCGCTGCACGTGGTTTGTAATAAACAGCCAAGCAGGCACACACTAGATCGGTGTGTATCACTTGTAACACTTTCACTTGTCTTGCCTGAGAAAACCAGTTTTTAATTTTTAAAAGCCTGTAGCTTTTCTTAATGCAACGAAACAGAAGATCAGCATTAGAAAAGTAGGGGGAAAGTTATTCGAAAAATTCAAGGCCAAAGTGCTATTTAGGCTCCAGGCCTATCTTAAGAGGTACACTGAGAGTTTCCAGCTGGTTAGTGTAGGTTTCACATACAAAAAAGGAAACCTTTCAGCTTCTCGGCAGGACGGCTGGTGGTTCAGGCAGTTACGCTTCGGGGAGGTGTGCGGAGGGGGGAGAGACAGCCATCCAGCTAAAAGCTCAACCACCGTTGCAAGTTGGCATACTCACCTAGAAGCAACCAAGGCTTAACAACGCCAACCTGCAGGTCCAAGCTGTGGTCCTGCACGTAACCACAACCACCCCCTCCGCTCGGCTCCACTTCCTCCACCACCTGCATTCGAGCATCTTTCCACGTTTCTATAATTTTCTTTCCAGTTAGCGTCGTCACCCTGGTGCATTGCTTCCTGAGGTTATTCCGGGAGAACGCTTTAATTTCCTGGTTAAGAGAGTGCATCACATGAGCGGTGGCGAGCACAGCGAGCGCCAGCAATTAGCCCGGCCGCGGGGACGCACAACCCGGCAGGTGACCGCAGCAGCCGCGCTGCGCCGGGAGCCAGACGCCTAACTCGGTCTTTCACAGTATGACTGTGTAAGGCGAGCTTTGATTGGTCACTGAGAAGCCAGCGCCGATTGGGTGATGCTTCTTCTTCCTTCTGACGTAAAACCTGTTTACACACACACACACACACACACACACATTTACACACCAGCCCAGCAGTAATCTGCATGGTTTAGTGATGTTCTGGTTTCAATCTACCTTAATTATACAGACAGACAGGATGGTAAAATGCAAGATTTAATTTGGCGAGAGGATTGATCTTTCCAAGGTTTATAAAGGCAGTGGTTTTCTGGAAAGTTCGACTGGTGTCACTTTATGGTAGTGACCGCTAATGATAATTGGTTATCCTTCCTGATTCCATGTTATCCTGATCGAATGAGGCCAGTGGCACCAGAGGCCTCCCTACCAGTCCTGCCTTCCTGCCGGCCTGCCCTAGGTCTACCTTGGGAAACGTTTGGCTTTCTCTCTACTGTTACCACCAAGAGCAACGCTTACTAGGTCAAACTAACAGAACTTTTGTGAGGCAGCAATTTAAATAAAGCCTGAAGAAGACACACTAACTTTAAAAATCATGTATGCCGCCGGGTGCCAGTGACTCACGCCTGTAACCCTAGCTACTCAGGAGTCTGAAATCTGAAGATCCAGGTTCATAGCCAGCCTGGCATAAAAGTCTGTGAGACTCTTAACCAATAAGCCACCAGGAAACCGGAAATGTTGCTGTGGCTCAGCGATAGAGCACTGGCCTTGAGCTGATGAACTGAGGAACAGAGTTCAAGCCCCATGACCGACAAAAAAAAAGTATGCTTGTATACATAGATATAGATAGATTATTATCAAGTCTTAATTTTGTTTTTGTATTTTCTGAGTTTTTACCTGCTGAAGTACTACTGTAGAGCTAATGAAATAAATTATTATTAAGGAAGTGTCATATATATATATATATATATATATATATATATCACTGCAAGTCTTTCTATACAGAGTGGGGAAAAGTTAAGTGTGCAAACAGCCAAATTTCCAAAGCATAAATATAATAGAATTCAGATTCTAATTACAAAAAAAAAAGAATTTTCTTTGCAAAAGACATATTTCTTCAACAGGAATTGTCCTAACCTTTGTTAAAATAAATCACAATTTAAGCAAACATGCATAAAGTGGAAAAATTGCAGTTAACAAAAACTCTTAGTATATTAATTTTTGTTGTTATTGTTGTTGTTTTGCCAGTCCTGGGGCTTGTGAAATCAGGGCCTCAGCGCTGTCCCTGGCTTCTTTTTGCACAAGACTAGCACTCTACCATTTTAGCCACAGCGCCACTTCTGGCTTTTTCTGGTACTTTTTTATGTGATACTTAGGAATCGAACCCAGGGCTTCATGCACTCTAGGCAAGCACTCTACACTGAGCCACATTTCCAGCCCTCTTATTACATTAGTTGTACAAGGGAAGTTTCATGTGACATTTCCACATATTTCCCTAATCACACTCTTCTCCTCTATTACTCTCTTCCTCTTCCTTCTCAATTTTTTTTAATTGTGAAAATACAGAGGGGTTACAATTACATGGGCAAGATAATGAGTACATTTCTTATCTAGCATTTTAGCCTCCTTCTTTGTTTCCCCTTCTCAGCCTCCCCTGCCCCCCCACCCAATTCCTCCTCCCCCCCAAAGTTGTAAAGTTCATTTTTCCACATAACTGACTTGTACATCTCATTGTTGCAATGGTTCCACCTGTATCCCTATTTAAACGATTTGTTTTTTCCCTTCCCCTCCACAAATTATACCTACCTCAAATACAGTGAAAGCAGGAATTATACCGTGGGGGAGGGACATACAAAGCAACAAAGAAATAATCTTTTTTTCGGGGGGAGGGGGGGTCCAGTAGTGGGGCCTGAACTCTGGGCCTGGGCATTGTCCCTCAGCTCTTCAGCTCAAGGCTAGCGCTCTACCACTTGATCCACGGCGCCACTTCCAGCTTTTTCTTTTTGCTTATGTGGTGCTGAGGAATCGAACCCAGGGTCTCAGGCATGCAAGGCAAGCGCTCTACCACTTGTAATGCCAAGGTCTCAGGACCCCCCACAAGAAGACCACCGAGAGTCAGACTCTACAGCTGTTTTATTTAGACAGGTTGCAGCTCTGGCCTCTTCCTACACTCTGACACAGCAGAGCCCAGGAGGAGAGCCCCGAGCTAAGGATTTGCAGGTCTTATAAAGGCACACAATCAACCAAGTGTTTTGATTATCACCACGTGTTGCTTTGCTAGACAGAAACAAGCAACACATGGTGGTCACTGCCTCAAACTTTAACCTTTCACACTGAGCCACCTTCCCAGCCCCCCAAAAATAATCTTATAAATATGTTAGAAACAATCGCATGAAAGAAAAAAACATTTGAATACATATCTTAGGGTTCATTTCCCTAACATCAATTTATCTGACAATTTCTGCTTGACTCAGACATATACTAGTTATTGCAAATAAGGGAAACCATGGGACCTAAGTTTCTTTGGGCCTGGCTTACTTCACTTAATATAATTTTCTCCAAGTCTTTCCATTTCCTAACAAATGGGGCAATGTCATTCTTTCTGATGGAGGCATAGAATTCCATTGTGTATATATACCACATTTTTTTGATCCATTCATCTACTGAGGGGCATCTGGGTTGGTTCCATATCTTTTTTTTTTTTTTTTTTTATTTTATTTGAGAACATACTGTACAGAGGAGTTACAATTACATGGGCAGGATAATGCATACATTTCTTACCAAGCATTGCAGCCTCCTCCTTTGTTTACCCTTCACCTCCCTTCCCAGCCTCCCCCCTCCCCCCCACCCAATCATACCCCCCCCACACACCGACATTGTAAAGCTGGTTTTGACATGACATTTTGTACTTCTCATTGTTGCAACAGGTCCACCTGAATCCTTAAACGACTTGTTTGTCCCCATCTCCTCCACATGTTATACTGACATCAAATATAGTGAAAGCGGGGGTTACACTGTGGGGGAGGGACATACAAAGCAACAAAGAAATAATCTTATAAATGCGTTAGAAACACATGCATGAAAGAAAAAAATATTAAAATACATATCTAAGGGTTCGTTTTCCTAACATCACATTATCTGACCTTTTCCGCTTGACTCATACATATACTAGATATTGCAAATAAGGGAAACCATGGGACCTATGTTTCTTTGGGCCTGGCTTACTTCACTTAATATAATTTTTTCCAAGTTTTTCCATTTCCTAACAAATGGGGAAATGTCATTCTTTCTGATGGAGGCATAGAATTCCATTGTGTATATATACCACATTTTCTTGATTCATTCATCTACTGAGGGGCATCTGGGTTGGTTCCGTATCTTAGCTATGGTAAATAATGCTGCAATAAACATAGTTGTGCTGGTAGCTTTAGTGTGGCCTTGTTTGTGATCATTTGGGTAAATGCCTAAAAGTGGGATTGCTGGGTATAGGGGAGCTCTATGTGGAGTCTTTTGAGGAACCTCCATACTGCTTTCCAAAGTGGTTGAACAAGTTTACCCTCCCACCAACAATGCAGTAAGGTTCCCTTCTGTCCACATCCCCTCCAGCATCTGTTGTTATTAGAGTTCTTGATTATAGCCATTCTAACTGGAGTGAGGTGGTATCTCAATGTTGTTTTGATTTGCATTTTATGGCTAGGGAGGTTGAACATTTCTTCATGTGTCTATTGGCCATTCTTCTTTCCTCTTCAGAGAAGTTTCTCTTTAAGTCTTTAGCCCATTTATTTATTGGGCAGTTGTTTCTTTGAAGATTTGTTGTTGGGGGAATTTAATTTTTTGAGTTCCAGGTATATTTTAGATATGAGACCATGTCTGTTGTATGGCTAGTGAAGATCTTCTCGCAATCCGTGGGCTTTCTATTGATCTTGCTAACTATGTCCTTTGCCATGCAGAAGCTCTGCAACTTCATGCAATCCCATTTGTCCAACCTTTCTTTGATTTGTTGTGTTTCCGGGTCTCTATTCAGAAAATTTCGGCCTGAACCAAGGAGACCTAGGGTTTCTCCTATTCCATCCTGTAATGTTTTCAGAGTGTCTGCTTTGACTTCAAGGTCTTTGATCCATTTGGAGGTGATTCTGGTGCAGGGTGATATATAAGGATCTAGCTTTAGTTTTCTACATGTAGTTAACCAATTTTGCCAGCACCATTTACTGAAGAGGCTGTCTTTCTTCCATTCTATTGTTTTAGCTCCCTTATCGAAGATTAGATGGCTATAGGTCTGTAGGTTCATTCCTGGGTTTTCAATTCTATTCCATTGGTCCTGAGGTCTATTCTTGTGCCAGTACCAAGCTGTTTTGATTACTATGACTTTGTAGTAGAGTTTGAAATTTGGTATTGATATTCCTCCAGCAGTGTTCTTTCTGTTGAGGATCGTTTTAGCTATTCGGGGTCTTTTATTATTCCATATGAATTTTTGGATTGCCTCTTCTATTTCCTTGAAGAATGAGGATGGAATACTGTTAAGTATCGCATTGAATTTGTAGATAGCCTTGGGAAGTATCGCCATTTTCACGATGTTGATCTTTCCAATCCAGGAGCATGGGAGTTTTTGCCACTTTCTAAGTTCTGTTTTGATTTCTTTTTTCAAGTTTTTAAAGTTTTCATCATAGAGGTCCTTCACTTCTTTGGTTAAGTTAATTCCTAGGTATTTTATTTTTTGTGGGGCTATTATGAATGGAGTTGCTTTTCTAATTTCAGCCACACTTTTCTCATTGTTGGCATACAGAACAGCCATTGATTTTTGAGGTTTAATTTTATACCCTGCTACTTTGCCAAAGTTTTGAATCAGTTTGAGTGATTTGGGAGTGGATGTGAGATTCTGTGGGAATACAAGATCATGTCATCTGCAATGAGGAGATTTTTTACTTCTTCTTTCCCTATTTGGATCCCCTTTATGTTTGCATCTTGCCTAGTTGCTGTAGCTAGGCATTCTAATACCAGATTGA